TATTGTATTGGTTGATTTAGACAAATCTATTTCTTTTATATCTAAATTTATGTTGACGATTGAATGTATTAAATATTTTTAAAATATTCTAAAAGATCAAGATGATAATATATATATATATATATATATATATATATATATATATTCTTTGGCAACTAAAAAGAGAATTTATGTGTATAAAAAAAGGTAAATAAAAGTTATCATCTTTTTATTTAAATCTAACTCTGCATTTGATTTCTAGTGTGCTTTTTAAAAATTTTCACTTTATAAAAGTACAATTTATCTTTGTGTAATTTGTTCTTGTTGTGTGAGTGGTACTTACCAATATTATATGTATGTGTTTACTGTTTTGCTATGATATATTGTTATATACAGGCTTTCTACAAATAAGAGGCGTGAAAATAGGCCCCTCCACTGAGGGCTACGTTGATTCTAAACTTGCTATTGAGTTAGGAAGAATCACAGGAAGATATGTCTTGCCACCATGCATTATTATAAGATTGATATTGACTTTCATAGTTCTCTTTGCAATCCTAATATATAAATGGCGAAGAAGACATATATCCATGTATGAAATTATTGAAAATTTTCTTCAAGGAAACACATTGGTGCCAATAATGTATTCTTACAGAGAGATAAAGACTATGACTAAAGGTTTTAAGTACAAGCTTGGTGAAGGAGGGTACGGTTCTGTGTATAAAGGAAAGTTACGCAGTGGATCTTTTGTAGCCATAAAAATGTTGGGTAAACCTAAGGCTAATGGACAAGAATTTATTAGCGAAATCGCAACTATAGGAAGAATACACCATGCCAACGTTGTGCGACTTATTGGATTTTGTGTTGAGGGGTCAAAACGTGCTCTTGTTTATGAATTCATGCCCAATGGCTCTCTAGATAGATACATTTCATCCAAAGAAGATAACATCTCTTTACCCTGTGATCAAATGTATAAGATATCTCTTGGAGTGGCTCGAGGTATTGCTTATTTACATCGAGGGTGTGACATGCAAATTTTGCATTTTGATATCAAGCCTCATAATATCCTTCTTGATGAGAATTTTGTTCCCAAAGTTTCAGACTTTGGTCTAGCAAGGCTTTATCCTGTTGATAATAGCATTGTTACTTTGACAGCAGCAAGAGGAACAATTGGTTACATGGCTCCAGAATTATTCTACCAAAATATAGGAGGAGTATCATACAAGGTTGATGTTTATAGCTTTGGAATGCTTTTGATGGAAATGGCAAGCAAGAGAAGGAATTTGAATCCACATGCAGATGATTCAAGTAAATTATTCTTTCCCTTTTGGATTTACAATCAATTGGTTGAAGAAAAGGATATAGAAATTGGGGAACTTACCAACGAGGAAAAGAATAATATAAAGAAGATGTTCAAAATTGCCTTATGGTGTATACAATTGAAACCTAGTGATCGTCCTCCAATGATAAAAGTAATAGAAATGCTGGAAGGAGATGTTGAGAGCATCGAAATGCCTCCAAAACCTTCTTTGTATCCAAATGAAATGATTCAAGGAGATACTAAAACCAACTCTGATACAACCATATCAAGTGATGTTGTTAGCTTAATTAGTTGAAGGAACTAAAGTTGATCCTTTGTTAAGGTATTCTACTTAATAATTATTAGTAATTTATTTTTGTATTTATATTTTTTAGTTTAGTTATCAATGAAAAAATAATTAGAGTGTTCATGTTATATTGAAAGCTACATATTTCACATCACTTGTAAAATCTATATTAATTTTTATTATTTTTAAAATATTGGTGACAAACATGAAGAGTTACACAATTGTGTAAGACTTCATTATGTTTACACATATAAATTGATTTATTTAGTGGAAAGTCTTGAATTGAAATTTTCTCATAAGAAAAATTAGTTATAAATTGTGATTAAGAATTTCTCATATTCTTTGACTTTCAACCTTCTCTTAGGGACATAAGTATCTTTGACTAACTTGGAGCTAAAAAATAATATCTTTATGTATCAAATTTAAATTCTCATTCTTAAATAAAATATTTTTTAAGAATATATTAAAAAAGAATATTTATAAGTATTTTTATTATTATGTTACTGTGTACTTTTCATGCATTGAAAATTTTATTTTTTAGTTAATTCATACACCTTTTAGACATTATTTTTTAATTTTAAAGAAGAAGGATTTTTATGTAAATATTTAAAATTTGTTTAAAAGACATTTTTATAAATATTTATTTTAAATAATAAAATATAATAAAACAAATAAGGTGACAGTGACGTAGAAGTGCTAAGTTAGCTTTCCATCAGTCAGCTCAGCATTTAACAAAAATAGAATTGACGACAAAGACTAAATTCTAAATTTTTAACTTTACAGGACTAAATCTTAACAAAAATATTTATAGGAACTTATTACAAAATGAACTACATTTATAAGGACCAATAACACATTTAAGTCTATTTAATAAAAATTAAGTCTTACAACATTTGATGCAAGTTTGCTTTTGTTTTTAGGATGAATCTATATTTTACCATAAAAAATATATTAGTTTCACAATTTCAATTTTATTTGACCAAGCACTTTAAATCTAAGGTACTTAACATTTACTTATGTGCTTAAAATTACTCTAATTTCATTCACGTACTTCTAGATGGAATACAAGTCAAACTTAGCACTTTAAATATGGCATACATACTCCATAATTATTCTACCATTTAATTACAAGTTATGCAAAAACTTATTAGCATTGCTATCTTATATCTACATAATTACATCACAATAAAAAATTAAAAAAAATCTCTTAGCAAGAGCCGTTGTAGCCCTATGTCTTTTTTCTCCACTTAAACTAAAGAGACCTTCAACTTTTTTATATACTGATAATTGAAGTATAGTATTGTCTACATCTTCTTCACTTGTACATAGCCTCTCAATATATTTATATAAGTCCTCCATAACCTAAAGATCATTTTTAATTTGTTTATTGTTATAAAAAAAAAATTAAGGATTCAAATAATGACATGTAACATGCAATGGATGAAGAAGTTGACACTCATATCTTTTATCAATTATAGTAATTTTCTCCTTATACTTGTCTTCATTTCATATGGATGTTTTCTTTAGCTTTATCAATTGATTTCTATATGTAACCAATTGTAGATTTTCTCTCATTATCAACAAGCTTCAAAGCTTACATAAGTAGCCCTATAGCCTTAAGAGTGAAAACAACATCATTTAAAAAAAAGAGGATAAGCATAGTGTCTCTTGCCCTTTTTCCTTTAGCTTCTTTAGTTGTCTTTTACTTTAACCACTCATTGAAAGTGAATTTTTTTTAAGGATTTTTTTTATTATGCAACCTTTGTTATATGAGGAATGTTATGACTAAACTTGTCACTCCATATTTAAGCGATTTGGCTTTATTTATAAATCTTCTCGTAATGTTTAAAGTCAATTAATAGTTATAAATAAATTTCATAAGACTAACTTTTCTTTATATTATTCTCTTGACTTTTTCTATTTTTTAATATTTTTAAGAACTAATTTTAATAATTTTTTCTTTTAAGGACTAAAATTAACTGAATCCTTATTTTCAGAGTAGATTAAAGATATACTCTAATTAAAATTATAACTTAATATGTTTTTATTAAAAAAAGTGTTAACATCAACCTTTAGATTATAATTAAATATTTAAAGTAAACATTCATATTTAGTTAAGTTTAAGCACCTAAATTTATGATCAATAAATAGAATTTTTTTTAATAAAAAATATATATTTATTAAATTAAAATTATAAAAATACTATAAATGTTTATAATTTTACTAAATTTTAGTTTATTAATTGCTTATCATTAATCCTACAAATGTTAATAAAATTCTATTTTGTTTAGTGATAAAGCTCATCGTTAATTGCTAAAGTTAACCAAACTCATTTTTAAAAATTAATTGAGTGTATATTAATAATCCTAGCGGCTAAGATATATTCATTTGTTTTTTTTTTTTTTATGTTAGTAAGTTACATTTTTATAATATTTATTAAAGTTAATGTTATAATTTGATAACATATTCTTTAAAAAAATAATATACATATTTATTCATTCAATTTAAACATCTTTATTTCAATTGGCGTACCTCGACACTTCTAGTGAATATATGCTTATTGTATTATAAAATAAACAACTGTATAGTGTAAATAATTTTGAACAATGAGGGCTCCAGATTTTGATTTAAGCATTTTTGTCACAGTACCAATTATTTTTAATAAAAAATATAAATATAATTTTTTTTTAAAAATTATTTATTTATTTATTTTAAAAGAAACTTATTTTTGAGTTACATGTCAAATTTAGAAGTTATTTTTCAAATTGTTATTTTTTTAATGCAAAAAACATATTGATTTGAATTCTAAGTGAAATTCGTCTAATCAGTGAAAAGTAGGTGACATTTTTGTTTTTGCCTAAATTTATATAAGCTTTGTCTTAAAGAGATAATGCTAAAGTTTGACACACATGTGGCATACGCTTCGCATTACACAAAAATTTTCAGTTAATTGGCATGTTATTGTTTGGTTCTGAGTGGAGGAAAAATAAATAAATTTATTGTTATATATTTAAGATGATTAATTAATATTAAATTAATGATATTTTTATATAATTACTCTAAAATTATTTTTTAAACCTCTAAATTTTGGAAGGGTGATAAATTTAAATACCCCATCCTTACTTCTAAAATATTACTAAACATAAATTTGTAAAATTCTTTCCCTTTACCTTACATCAAATCACTTATTAATGTGTTCCTAAAATTTATATTTCATAATGCAAAAAAATAAAAATAAAAAAATGCACTTATTAATGTGTTCCTAAAATCGCAAACCACAAATAATTGAAAGCAAGAAATTGGTCAAACATTCCATCATTGACGCTTATACAAAACAGCGGTGTTACACCAGTACAAATTTAATGAACCTAATGTTGTTTTTTATTATTCAAATCTGCAGTTAATAAATATCTATAATCACTCTAGTTCTTGAATTACATCTAGCTCAAAGTTCATACGTCTGGCAACAACATTGGCACTTGTATCAGCTGAGGTTGTGGACTCAAAAGGATTACGAGGCACTTCCAATTTGTCTACCTCTCCTTCTAGCATTTGCATCACAGTTTTCATTGATGGGCGGTGCAGAGGGTGCCATTGGATGCACCAAAGTCCCACAATAGCCAACTTTTTTGCAATTATAAAATTTCCCTCTTCATCAATAGGGATATGAATATCTCCTCCTCCTTCGAGCAAATTATGTATCCAATCAGGATATAAAACTTGGAAATCTTCTTGACTATGGTTTATGTTCTTTCTTCCTCCAACCATCTCTAGCAACAACATTCCATAACTATAGATATCAGACTTATAAGATACATTACCAAAGTTTCTAGAAAAAACTTCAGGTGCCATGTAGCCTAATGTTCCCCTAGCTACAGTCATAGAAACCGTGCTTCGATTTTTGGAACATAATTTAGCTAATCCGAAGTCTGAAATTTTTGGAACAAAATTATCGTCTAATAAGACATTATGAGGATTGATGTCAAAATGAAGAATTCTATGATCACAACCTTGGTGGAGATACTCAATACCCCTGGCTATGCCTAGAGCAATTTGTTGCAATTTTTCCCATCCAAGAAAGTTTTCATTGTGGTTTGATTGGGAGATGAAATTTTGCAATGACCCATTTGGAAAAAAGTCATAAACTAAAGCACGATGAAACCCATCAGCACAGAAGCCAAGCAAACGAACCACATTGACATGGTGAATCTTGCCCATAGTTCCTACTTCATTTATGAACTCTTTTCCATCACCTTCTGTGCTATTAAGAATCTTCACAGCCACTAGAATTTCATTAGATAGTTTACCTTTGAAGACAGCTCCATGAGCTCCTTCACCTAATTTTTCTTTAAAGCGATGTGTGATCCTCTTGATATCTGCATAAGTGAATCTAGTTGGCTTCATAGCCCTATAATCTTTCAAAAAATTTTCTACTCTTGCATGATCTTCGCTTTTCATTCTATAATATCGATGTAATTGAAACAACCCATTAAGCACAAGCGCCAGCACAGTTGAACCTACGATTACACCTGCACGTTGAATATTTTATATTCAGGAAGAGTGTATCTATATAATTAAATAAAAGTTAAAATGAGTTCTTTTATGGGAAGAGATCGCCTTATTCTAAGAATAAGAATTGATTTCTTAGTTAAAATGAGATCGCCTTATTAAATTATATGAGACCTGCATAATTTTGAGATTTCGAATAAATATCAGCTATATAACAAAGAGTGGGTATACGTTTTTAGCAGTTCTTTTAGTTATGTTTATAAAAAACTAAACATAAAGTTACGCTTAAAATAAAATTGTCCTGGGTTTGCAGCACTCTGCCCCTCAAACCAAACCCCAAAATCAAAGAAGAGGCATAAAAGAGTGTCTCACCTGCAGTGACTAGAAGAGTGGTTGTAGTATGCTTCTTTTTTTTTGGTGGAGTCATACATTGGAAGCATCTTCTGTCAAATTTTGTTCCCTCCCAAGACAATGAAATTGTTTTACCGCTTACAGAAAAAGGGGATGCTAGGTCAAACAGTTTAGTGCATGATAACAGGTCCAATTCCACCAGGCTGTCGTAAGAGTGAGCAATATAAATGGGGCAAGATAGCAGATCTTGAGCATCATCTTGTAATTCATAACTGTTTCTCAGATGTCTTTCCCCTACTGAAGAACAATTAAAGAAACTAACATTCGAAGGATCAATTAGAAAAGGAGAAAAAGATGAAAAATTGAGTCCAAGTAGGAGTCCTGCAAGACAGTTTCCAGGGTCATATGCGTCTATTTCTTTATATCTGTAATCGATGTAAGTGATGGGGAGTTTTATTGGGACAGGAAGTGCAGACAATTCAAGCATTTTCTTGTGATCTGAACAAGATACCCGCACGGGACATTCAATGTTACCACTTACAAGATTCATAAGCAGAAACATTAGTAGTGCTAATGTTGTCATCATGGTTCAAAGTTGAACTGTGTTGTGTTAGTATCCGATTCTAATATATTGTGTGCATCCTCTCTTGAATGCCCAAAGGAGACGGAATGCCGTAAGCAAAATGTTAAAGCTTTCCAAGTCAAGTCAATGCTGATACCTAAAAATGATGTTATGTATGTTATTTTTCGTTTAAAATTTCATGTAATAATTAATAATTATTAATATTTTAAAAATTATACTTTCGTCTGATATACTATTCCAATTCTTATTTATTTGTCTTACCAAAAAACAAATACACAAATCATAAAATTCAACAATTATATATTTCTTATCCTTAATTAATAAGTTTTTTATTCTTATATGGATTATATAATATAAATATATATTTTATAGGGAAAATTATGTTATTCTTATTAAAGTTTAACGAAAATTCATATATTATTGCATATATTAAGAAAGATTTTGTGTATAGTAAAAATAAATTGATAATATCAAGGGAAATTTTGTTAAATTTTAAGGAGTGTGAATGTAATTTGCCTTATTTTATATGCATAAAAGGATATTAATTAAAGAATAATAATTAATATTATTTTCAACTTTTACGTGATAGCATACATAAATAAAAAATAAAAATAATTTTATTTTTCTCTAAATAGATAAATAATAACAATAATAGAATTAAGTATCTCACTTACACTAAAAAATTTGTCATGTCAAGATATTTTAAATAAGAATATTATTTTATTTCAATATTTAAAATTATCTGTTAATAGTTAATGTTGATAAAAATAAATTTAAATATATTTTTTATTTTGAAATTTCAGTGAATTGTTTTATTTTTTATTTTTTATTTTCTAAACTTGTAGAAAACTTTTAATTTGAACTTATTCATTAGCATTATTCAAATAAAAATTAACATGAAGTAGCATCTTAATAAACTAAAATTGACCCTGTCACTGGGAAGAATTAAAATTAAAAATTAAAAAACATATGAAATTAATATAAAAAATTAAATAAATAATTTATAAAAATATATTTAAATTATAAAATTATATTACAAATAAGATGTGAAAAAAAATCCGTACGTAAAACTTAAGAGCCAACTAATTTATAGAAAGTTGACAAAGAAAAAAATAGCTTCATTTATTCTTTTAAAAAATCTTAAAAAAATTAATGATTATAAAATTATTTTTAAATTTTAGATATGTTTATTATTATTATTATTATTATTTTATATATTCAGATAATTTTTTTTAAAATTATATTATTAAAATAAAAATAAAAATAGACACTTAAAAATTTCTTATGGATTTGATTGGTGGGTGGGACATATGATTGACTGATTCCAATGTCACTTGCATTATCTTTTCAACTTGCGAATTCCACGAAAGATACTACTTGCGATTCCTCTGATTTATATAAAACAAATATTAATTAATTTGTGAAAATAAATAAAAAAATTGTTTTATAAATTTAACGGTTAAAATAAACATATAATAAAGAAATGTTGATTTATATACCACATAAAATATATTTACTTATATAGTGTTTTATTAACATAAATTTTATGATAAAAAAATTAACAAATAATAAATGTAAAAATAATTCAAATACAAAATTAATAATATTTTGATAAATAGATCTGAAAATAGAACACAATTTTTTAATGAATGACGTAAGTAAAACGGTAAAGAAAGTAATACAATCAAAATAATTTTAAAACTATTTTATTTTATTTTCTAGAATCATTAGACAATTACTATTTTAATAAAAAATTATTATAATTGATTAATTTAACTTTTAAAATCATTAAATTACTGTTATAATTTAACTAGCATTAGCTTGAACTCTTGATTTTGCTTTCAGATTTATTGACTCACTTACTTTCTTGGGTTGATGTTAGTTATAGTAAAAGAGAAGAGATGTGCTTATTAATTTTTTGAATAAATATAATGTGATCTTTGTGTTTATATAGAAATAAAATAATATTTTTTAATGGTATTTTGGATGAGAGAGAAGTCCTAGATTCTATTATTCTGAGGTCTTGAAAATGATTATAACTTGTTAATAAAAAAAAAAGTTATTTTGTTAGCTGATTGGTATCTGAATCCACAAAATTGCATCCATTTTAACATTTCATAAGTATGTTTTTGCTTTTTATTTTCTTGAGTAAGTATTTTTTTTTTTGTATATAAGTTTTGAGTTTTCTTTGAACTCTATTTGATTATATATGTTTTGCTTCTGAAAAAAAAAAATTTAATACTATAAAAAAATATTAGAACTATTTTATTTTATTTTCTAGAATCATTAAACAATTATCATTTTAATAAAAATTATTACAATTGATTAATTTAACTTTTAAAATCATTAAATTACTGTCATAATTTAATTAGCGTTGGCTTAGATTTTCACTGATTTTACCTTTAAATTTATTTACTTACTTGTTTTCTTGTGTTGGTATTAGTTCTAGTAAAAGAGAAAGGATATGCTTATTAATTATTTAAGTAAGTACAGTATGGTCTTTATAGTTACATAAAAATAATAGTATTTTTTAATAGTATTTTGAATGAGAGAGAAGTCTTAGATTCTATTATTCTGATATCTTGGAAATGACTATTACTTATTAGTAAAGCTTATTGGTATTTAAACCCACGAAATTGCATCTTTCTTAGCTTTATATAAGTATGTTTTTACTTTTTTTTTTAGTAAGTATTAGTTATTTTTCTATATAGGTTTTTAGTTCCCTTGAACTTTATCTAATAATATATGTTTTGCTTATGAAAAAAAAATCTTTAATGTTATAAAAAAAGATATTTTTATCTTTAAAAATATCATATTAAATAGTTTATTAACTCAACTTTCAGGACCCTTGCTGGTTTCATTAAAATGGAAAGAAAGTTTTCCACAATTTTAATTTTTGGATTATATGAAAGGAAACATGTATCATGGAGACATTGGGATGAAATGCATGATTTTAAGTATATGTTGGATGATAACATGTTTTTGTTATGTTTGAAACATGATTTGTGATGTTTAATGATGTGTATGATCCTTGTTTTGAGTTTATATGTATGTATGTTGTGGATTGAGTTTGAGGGTGATTAACCCTTGGCAATGATTGATTGATATATGACGTAGTAATGAACTTGAATAAAATGGAGAAATGAAGGGATGAATAATATGATAGGAAACAGATAATGAGTTCATATTATAGTAAATAATGAGTTTAGGCCATAACGACTAATAAGAAGAGTAAATTCATAATGAGAAATGTAGAAATGAGATAAGTATGAAAAGAGAAATGAAAAGAGGAAGGAACATGATAAGAATAAGTATGGATAATTCAGAAGTACATTAGGGTGTAGAAGATGGAGGCGATTCAGAAATCTTGGAGAAATGAGGGTGGTAGATGCTTTTCTTGAATTGCGCATAACAAATGAGAGTAAGAGCACCACAGGCCTCACACTTATTTCCTGACTTATTCTCCTGATCATGTTTTTGCTAAAAAAGGTCAGGTCGGCACGCGTTGTATTCGTGTAGCTGCGGCTATCCAATAATTATTTATGCTAAGAAAGACCTTGAGAGATCCTAGGAGCAGTGAAAGTGTGAAATGAGAACTTTGAGTATAATAGAAAGAAAATATAATAAGCTGAATAATAAATGATTATTGTATGTATACGAACAAGATTGATTATTGTATTATCTTTGCTTGTCCTATTTAATGTAATTGTGAATGTATGCTTGATAATAATAATAGAGACTCATCCTTATAAAAACCTTTCAGGAGACCAAGATGACAGCACCCAGAAAGCATTAGGCTCATAGATAGCTTTGTACAGTATAAGTTAAATTATGTATTTAACGAGTACCATAGATTTTGTTATTTTAAATTGGCCTTGCATGTTGATAATGTATCTCATAACATTATTATGCTATAAATGGAACTATCCTATAGTGTACTTTTTTATTTTCCTGTAAATAATAGAATTTACTATACCCTGTATATGTACTTCTATCAAGACATAGTTAGGGGTGTTCATGGATTGGATTTTCAAAACACTAATATAAATCCATTTAAAATCCAATTAAATGAATTGGATAAACCAATCCATTTTATTTTCCTAAAACCAGTTTAAATTTGGTTTTAAAATTTAGATTTGGTTTAAAACCAGTTTTAAACTGTTTTTACATATGGTAAAAATATACTATAACTATCTTTTAATTATTATTAAATTATTATATTAAAAAATAATATAACATTATTTATTTATTTATTTATTTGTTAAGCATCAATATTTATTAAAGATAAAATATGAATACAGAGAGTACTCTAGTCTATTATATTAACAATACATGTCTAGAGAATATTTACGTATATTTTAATTTATTAATAATATTTTTTATTTTTATATTTTATTAAAGTAATAAATATTTAGATATATTCTACTTTTTATCATCTATTCATCACACAAATTAATTATATGAATTAAATTTTAAACTATTTTATTTTTTTAATCAGTTCAAAAATAGTTTTAAAATTTAAATTTAGTTTAAAATTGATTTTAAATTTAGTTCTTGTTAAAACTAGTTTTAAATTTAGTTTTACGTTGAATTAATTTTAAATCTAATTTTAAATTTAATTTTTAATATATTTGTGAATTATATTTTTAAGGTAAAACTAATTTATTATACAAAATATTGCATGAAATTAGTGCATTTCAAAAATATTTTAACAATATTTATTAATATATTATATTTTATAGAAGTATATAAAATATTTATTATTATTTTTAACTTATTTTTAATAAAAAGAGTTTATAGTAAAAATTTAAATTAAAATCTATAAAAATAAAAATTAATAATATAAATAATAAAATTTTTTATGTTATAATATTTTAAAAATTAAAAAAAATATAAATATAAAAATAACAGTGGTAATTAATTTAAAAATATTTGTTATATTTTAGTATCTTTAATTATTTTAAATATTTAATTTTAATTATAAGAATTAAGATTAATAAAAAAATATTAGTGGTAAAATATATTTACAATAAAATTTTGTAAACTAATATAACAGTGAAATTTAATAAATAAAGATATAAGGTTGCTTCATACATATGGATTTGTATAGCTAAAAAAAATCTAGTTTTAGAAAATAAATTTATATACTAAACTGGTTACACAAATATAGTTAATAAAAAAATTGATTTAATATGGATCTAGATTTTTAAAATCAATTTGACATTGGTTATGGATTGGGTTTATAAAATTAGATTTTTTGAACACCCCTAGGCACAATTAGAACTCCAGCAACTGTGACCTACCTGTTTACATATCATGATCACGATCATCTCAGAAAAATCAACTCGATGAACTTTTGAGCGAATTACTGGTAGGCAGGCCACTATAGATTCAGGTAATCGTTATCTCAGATCTAATGATGATCTAGATTCTGAAGACCTTGCGATGATAGAGAAGTGGCATGGAGATGACTAATATCTTTTTTTCAGTCTTTTGATGGATAGACTGCTCGTTAAGAGTTGTTATATTTTGTATTTTGTATTTTGTAAATATTGTAAATGAGTCATAATGTATTTTGATGTATATTTTGCTAATATCAACTTTTTATAAACTATTTAGAACAATATATATACGTTAATGTTCTTTCATGTTTCCTTTTTAATTTGTCTATTCTCATTTCTTGCTATTTAAATTTTCATGTTTCCTTTTAAGTTGAGTAGGACTAATATGGGGAGCAAAACAACTACAAGTTAAGCTGAAACATCTCCTTACCAATTGATCATGTAGTCAATGACAAACGTATTATATTATATTATATTATATTATATTATATATATATATATATATATATATATATATTTGCTAGAAGATTTTAATATATTTAAATTATAATCATTATATTATAAATGAGAGTCTATTATTTAAAAAATGAAATATTAGTAAATTTTTTCCTTTATAGTTCATCACATGTATATTTTAAGATTAAAAATGATTAATAAGTGATATGTAGAAATTACATTTTTTCTTGCTAAAATAATTTTTTTCCCTGATATCTTTACTAATCTTATTCTAAATTTTTTATATTGAAATTTATCCTTAATTTTCCCTTATTAAATTATATAAAATTTTCATAAATACTTATTTTTATATTTATAAATATTATTCTAATTATTTTTTTCTATTTTTCCAATTTTAAAATTTACTTTTGAGAGTCTCATCTCTTTTTTATAATAATAATTATTATCAATAAGACTAAAAAAAAAGCTCAAAAACACAAAGTAAAATTAACTAATCATTTTAAGAAAGCAAATTATCCTATTATCCTCTCTAAAACGGGACACAAGTTAGGAAGGAAGAAATCTAAAAACAAATAATCTACAAGTACTTGAAATGTCCAATTGACTAAAAAGTCCACGCAACAATTAGGTTCCCTGATCATAAGCTAATAATTCTACTAATTGAACTAAAATTATACTTTTCCTAATAATAAGATATAATTTATTAATTCAACAACCAATTTAGAATCTATCACTACCAAAAACTTCTTTTAGATTAGGGTTCTTAATTAATTTAAGACTTATTTATAAATTAAGCTATCTATATTGAGTTTAAATTTAAAAAAAGGAGGTGAATTTGATCCAGTAAAATTCTTATCCTTACAAGTTGTATGAAAATAGAAAGCGATATAACATATTTAAAGAAAATAATTAGAAGAAATATACATAACTCGACAATTCAGTTTATAAAAAAAAATTACAAATTCAATAATTTTTTAATAAAAAACTTGATCATTTGAATAAGTTTTGATAAAAATATTTGTAAGAGAAAAAAATTATATATCAAAATTTAATTTATGTATTTTTATGTTAAAATTTTTAATTAAAAATAAAAAATATAAATTAACTTTAACTATAAAAATTTATTTATTTATTTTATTCTATCGTTCGAATGTGTATAAGTCAATGCCCAATAAAAGTCTTCGGCGACGCCGTGTTGTTCCAAGTTTCCAATTATACGATTGAGATGTTTGCAGGACCCATATTTCTTCTCACATACTAATAATTACATTAATTTTAAATACTAAGATTATTATTTTTAAAATAATTATATTTTTTTATTTTTATAAATACTTTTAATTTTTAAATAAAAAATATTAAATTTATTTTATATTTTTAAAATAATAAATATATGTTTTTATTTTTACTATTTACTTTAGAAAATAATAAAAGTAAATAAATAAGGGGATATAATAAAGTTGGCTAGTAAAAGTGGTCGGCAACTCCAACACAATTGAAATGTTGCTAAGGTTATTCTCAATACATAATTGTTGAAAAATACATATTCTACTTTAATGGATTTATAGTACTAAATATTATATTTTTTTAATAAAAATATAATATACATACACTATTCTCAAGTGTATTGTTATATAGATTAAAAAAATTGTTAATAAAATTATTACCATCGATTAATTCAAGTTTTGAATTTATTATATAATTATCATTTTCATATTTAGCAATATAATAAATAATTACTGAAAAATATTTATCAAATTAAAAATGTCAGAATATAATAAATATTTTAATGAAATTTAATTAAATAAGTGTAATTACTTAAATTAAATTTTAAAGATTGAGATTTTTTAAAAATAATTATAAATTTTCATGCTTTTATTTTTATAAATATTTCTAATTATTAAATAAAAATATTTAATATTTTTTATATTATTATGATAATAAATACATATATATGTATATATTACGAAATACAAATAAAAGTATGAGAATAAAGTTGTTTGGCTTGACTCATCCCTTAAAATTTTCCAAAGTCTAAGTCATTGGCTAATAAAAGTCGTTGGCCACAGATATGTCCTTCCAACACGGTTGAAATGTTAGATATATTATTATTCTCAATACATAATTATTGAAAATGTACATTAATGTATTTATAATATAAATACTATATTTTTTAATAAAAATATAATATGTAAAAATTATTCTCTAATGCCATATTGCATAAATTAAAAAAATTAATAAATTATTATCATCGATTAATTTAATTTTTAAAATTATTATATAAATTCAATTTTAATATTTAATATTATAAAATGATTTTTATCGAGAAACATATATCAAATTAACAATTATAAAAAAATTAATTGAAAATTTTATTATTAATTACTTAAATTTAATTTTAAAGATTGGAGTTATTTTTTAAAATAATTATAATTATAATTTTTATTTTTATTTTTAAAAATATTTAGAATCACTAAATCAAAAATATTTAATTTTTTTATATTTTTAAGATTGTGAATACATATATTTTTTATAAAATAATAAAAATAAATAAATAAGAAGATATTTCTCTTGACTTGGCACTCAAATTTTACCAAGTGAAAGTCAATGGCTAAGTAAAAGTCCATGGGAACAGTTTTGGCATTCCAACACGATTGAATGTCTCGAAAACACGTAAACGAGAAACATAAGAAACCAAACCAAGCTTGCAATTCTCAGCATCAATCGATCAATCATGTGGACACGGAAATTCTTCTCTTCACACACTAAGGTGTTACTCTTATGGGTCCTTCAAATAATGCTGACACTACCACAACACAAGTGCGTGGCAAATAATCCCCAAACATGCGCACCTTCTTCATGCGGCAAAATCAGCAACATAAGACACCCGTTTCGGCTGAAGGGTGACCCAACAACATGCGGGGATCCCAGGTACGAGTTAGCTTGCGAAAACAACATCGCTGTGTTGCCTTTGTTTGCTGGTAAATACTATGTGCAAGCAATTCACTACAGTAACTTCACTATTCGGGTGGTGGATCCTGCTGTTCATGAGGCTAATTGTTCCTCTGTTCCTCGCTTTTTCTTATCCGCCTCCAATTTCACTGATTTCTACAACCGTTCTTCCGCCTATTCCACTACTCCTTATCAAGCTACTCGAGATACATCTCAAGGGTCTAGCATTCTATTCCAACACATAATATACTTAAATTGTAGAAATCCGGTGAAGGATCACAGATACGCGGATACTGCTCCATGCGTCAATTGGGGTTCCAAGGGCCATGCTTATGCAATTGTAGGGGACATTTGGCCTATGGTTTTAAAAGTTGGTTGCCAAGTGAAGATGGCTGCTGCCACATCCGTTTTTGGTTTCCAACCCTTTTATTATTTTGATGATTATGATTTGCTACGGCAGAATTTTTCCTACGCTGAAATTCATAGGATGTTGGGCTTTGGATTTGAAGTTTCGTGGATGACTGTTCCTTGTGAACATCTCTGTGAAAACACTCCAAACTGTTATTGCTTCTTCAACGAAACCAGCAAGCGTCCTCAAAGTTATTCCAGGTCTGACTACTGTTATAGTCCATTGGGATTTGAAGTCAGATGTGGTAAGGAGAATTCAATCCTCTTTTATTTGATATACGCACTCAAATTTATCGTCGTATAATTGGTGATTTTAGGAATTGATAAGAAAGATAAAATGATCAAATATAAGAACTGAGAATTGATTAAGAATATAGAGGATAAGGCAGGATACACACTTCTTTTTAGTCATCTACTACTTCAGCTTGAAGCTATCATCATCATCATTAGAATGTGTTAAACACTGAATTATATTTTATTCAAAGCCACTTGATAATTTTTTGGAAGAACTAAAATCCAATTGCAATATCCTTTGAAAGACCAAAAATATATTCAAATATTTTGTAAAATAAAAAATCTATTCACTGAAATAAACAACTGCAACAAAGTTCTTGTTTATTTTGTTATTTTTTATAAATTTGAAAAGCTAACATATTTTTTCTCTAACTGTTTACTTTGCAGGAAATATATCAAAGCAACGCATATTTGTAGAAGGTGATTAAAGAATTAATTTATACGTCTCTGAAGTTTTATTCTGTTCTATAACCCACTTTTTTTTTTTTGAATAATTATTATGAAAGTATTTTAAAAAATTATGAAAAAACTTAAATTTTGTATAATTTTTTAATATATGTTAATAAATTTATTAGTAAAATTGTGATAATATATTTATTTTTACAGTTATTTTTTGTTTTTTTAACTAAATATTAGATAAATATTTTAGTTTTTTCGTAACAAATATTTTACTTATTTTTATTTTATTAAGTGTCATTTTTTAATTAATATTCACTTTATAGTTATTATTGGCAAAGGTCATTTTTTTCCACCAACAACATTCAAATATAATCGTTGTCAAAGCTCTCCAATGGTTGCTATTCTGAGAATCCTCAATAGCTGTCACTAGCATTTTAACGTGAAATTTCAATTCAATTCAAAATTGGGATTATATATCTCAGTTGTTTATTTATCCTTTAGTATAGTTCATGTTAAATTCAAAATATAAATTTCTTAATTAGTCAAATTTAAATTCTTAAAAAAAATTGCAATTGAATATTTCACTATGTACTATTATGCTGTGGCATAACAATTGTAACATCCTAATTTTCTTTATTAAAAATATATAAATTTTTATAGTGAAAGGAAAAATAATTTTATTCTATTTTATGGATTTAAAAATTAAATAAAGATAAAATTTATATTTTTTCTTATAAAAATTTTATAAAATTCTAAAAGATTTAAAACTTTTAAAAGAATAATTTTGAGACTTTAAATAGTAAATAAAACTTAAATTTATTTCTAGTAAATAATGTGGTTCACTTGAGTACATATAAGTTTAAAATATAATTAAGAACATCTCTAAATTATTCATTATAACAATATTCACCGAAATATTATAAAATTTTAAAATATGACAATAAAGTAATATTTACATAACTTTTCAACATGAAATGTACTTAAGATAAAAAATCATAATTTATCAAACTATTCTAATTTTTAAAGAGCAATTTTTCTTTCAATACTACTAAATTATGATCTTAGAATGGCCAAATATTTTTATTTTTTCACTTTCATTACCTGAAAAATATCAATAAGGGTAACTATTTTTCACCTCACTAAATCTCTTATTTGATATAAAAAATGTATATTTATAAATATAATGCTGAAATATTATTTAATATATATGTATTGGATTTTCAATAACACTTAGAACATACACAAAGCAACCAATCAATCATCTTTACAAATATTTATAACATACATCTTTCTATTAATTTGTACATTATAATACATGTATTATATTACATCAATCAATATGTCACGATACATGTGTCCTGATCACACCCGTCGATGTATTATAACATGTATATCATGACAACATCAACTGATAAGTTACAATGCATATATTATAATCGTACAACTTCTATACTACTTCCTATTCATCACATTTCACATTAATTTAACTTTCATATTCAATGCTCCTAGGATCCTTTGAGGACTTCATAGTATAAATAACTGCTGATTAGCCGCAACAACACATATTACACACGTGTGTCGACCCAGCCCTTTTTAGCAAATGTGTAATCAGGGATTTAGGTCAAGAAATGAGTGTGAGACTTGTTGTGTCTTTTCTCTCAATTTTTTTATTAATTTTTGCGCAATCATAGAAAGACATCCACAACTCTCATTTCCTCCAGAGTTTGCAATCACCCCCGTCTTCTACACCCCAAGTGTATCTCTGTGACTATCTATACTTATTCCATTTCTCTTTCTCTTTCTTTTTCTAAGCATTTCTCATTCTTCTCTATATCCTTTTCATAAATTAACGTGTCATAATACGTGAATTTTGATTACATAACTTAATGTATTACAATACATGTATTATGAATACACCTTTTGATGTTCCACAACACCTGTATCCTAATAGCATCCATTAATCTATTTAACTTACGTATTACAATCACATTTCCATAATTCCTTCATCATGTCATATCATTTACTTTTATTCATAAAAACTCTTTCTTCTTTTGAGAACAATATAACATTTTTCATCAATAACTTAATTTCACCCATTTCAGCATACATCAATCATCAGCAAACATTCATCTAACACAAAAAGTCCTCAAACACTTTCACACCACACTGATGAATATAATGTGGCAGAAGTCAAACACCTTCAGACTCAGCCCAATCGTACAATCTAGCAACATACACACTTTTTCAGTAATAACAAAGTCGTCTATCCTAAACTTCAATGTAAATATCACTTGTTCATATATAAATAATAGTAAAATCTTAAAAATCTCTATAAGCTTAGTTACTCATTTTTTCACTATAACAGTTAATCTAAATGATCTTGTGTATTAAATTATTGGTTCCTCGTACCCAAAATTTCATTTGTAATAATAGAATTTAGAGAATCATTGGGGTTCTATTACCTAAAACAAAATACCAAAGTTAGGGTTCAAAAGGAGTTTTCATGTCAAACTCTCTATCACTACACACACACACACAAACACATATATATATATAAGAAAACTTTAGTATTCTAGAGTTCCAATAGAAAACTTAATAATTTTGAACCAAAATACCAAGAAGGAGTTAGGGTTTAGGATCAACTTCCTTTACCTGAAAATGAGTCTCTTAGATCAGGTTTCCTAGAGATCCAAGGAAAAGGCACGACGTCTTATAGAGAATAGCATCTTAAAGGTGAAAACTTCCTTGAGTATCACAAAGTACAAACCTTTAGATCGGATAAAATAGAAAAATAAGAATGAAGTTGGAGAACCAAGCTCAAATAAACTTACTTGGATTCAAATGATTGAGCTCCCAAGCCTAGATTCGAAGGAAGATTGAAGTTTAGAGAAGAATTTCTGAGAAGAGAGAGGAGGTCAAAATTTTTAGATCGTTATCTAAGTTTTCTAGGTTAAAGGTCCTTAAGTACCCCTTAATTCGTGATACTTTCGCTACAGCACGAGATTCTCACTATAGTAAGCCCTCCTCTCGTTATAGCAAAAAAAATCAGACAAAATTTCTCTTCGTTGTCTGTTATTCTAGCTACAGTGAGAGGATTCTCACTATAACGAGAGAGTATCAGAATGTCTGATTCTAAATGCTCTTTTTCACTACAGCAAGATACCTTGCCCCCAAAACTCATATTTTTCTATACAAAAGTCACAAAATTAAGAGTGTTATAACTGTCTAAATCTTATTTGATTAAATTTGTGATTTTGATATTAGGATACTAAATTATGATATCATCTAAATAAAAGTCTCATTATCTAGGACAAAAGTGATTAGAGAAAGACATAATTTTTTATTCAAAATACTAAATATAATTGTTCTCACATAAATGTCAATAAAGTTAAAACTTATTTAATATTTAGTTAAATTATATTTTATTTAATTTCATTTTAAATTTAATTTAATTTTTATTTTTTATTTTTTATTTTTTAAGTCATAATTTTTCTTTGACTTTACTTTGTCTTTTAGTTTAATATTATTTTTTTAAATAATAACATTTATTACCAACTATTTATTTTTATTTCTTTCTCTGTTGTGAATACCTAATTACCAATATCAAGTCATTATTATTGATCAAAACTCATATATCTATTATTTTTATTGTCAATTATCTTTATTATGAATTCATATTTACATCAAACCCCAAAATAATTGAATCAATAAAAATAGAAAGATGAGGTAAAGTTAGAAAAAAATTAAATAAAATTAAAAAAATTAAATTTAGAAAACTAAATTAAATAATAAAAAATTAGAAAGTAAATCAAAACTTTACTTAAATAAAAAAAATTATTTTAATCTTAATATTTTTAATGTGAACATCATGATAAAAAAAAAAAAAAAGAGATAAATAATCATTCATAACATCTTGGCTGGTTAATTAACCTTTTTCCTAATCAATTATCTCACTAATTTACAAAGAAGAGAAATTTCAACCATTTATTATTTATTATTATACTTAAGAAGAATACTTCTACCATGCATGTATTTAAACCAACAAAGGATTTGAATTTTACATGTAAAACCAACATTTCTAGCTATTTGTTTGTCCTGAGATCCTAATTCCTTTCAATTAATACTCACAAAATTTATCAAAGGTACGTTAATATATAAAAGAAGAAGAGGAAAAAAAAAGTCATATATATATATATAAAAGCTTTAATCAACATTTAAATTTAAAAAATTTGACTAAAATTTATGTATAAACCAGTTGTGTGCTATTACCTTTTTCTTATTAAATTGTAGTCATTTATATTTTCTTTTGCATTTATTGATTTTAGTATATTTTCTTGCAGATATTGTACACGGCATTGCAAAAGGTAATATTTTTTCCACATTGCATAGACTGCATTTTAACCTCAATAATATAGCATTTTATCTGCATTTTCTCAAATAAAGATGGTCATTTAATGTTCGATAAGATTTTTTTTTAATTGATTGAGTGTTACATAAATATTGAAATACTATGTAAATGGCATAAAAAAAATGTTTGAGCTTAATTATGTTTTTTATAAATAAGTGAAATTTTATTTTAATTACATTTTTATGAAAAAATTGTTTGATTTATTTATAATAATTTTTAAATTATTATTATTACTTATCACTAACATTTCTGCTACCTTAGTATGTGATGTAAAATGTCTAAATGCATTTTAGACCTGCATCACAACTTTTTAGCTATATATATTTTTAATGAATTTGATATATATTTATAATGAATTTGTCTAAGTTGTCACATATAATAAATAGCTTCAGCTTTGTTGAACTAACAAAATTTTGATAACATATAAAAATTTATATTAATTGTTTATATATAAAATATGACTTGTCTATTAATAATGAAACTATTTATGTATCAGTTAACTTAAACAAATCTATTTTTTTACGTTCAAATTTATGTTAATTTTAACAATTGGATGTATTAAATTATTATAAAAATATTCTGCAAGTGCAATATGATAATAATACTTATATTTCTTGACAACTAAAAAGAGAATTCACACGTGTACAAAAATTGTATATGAAAATTATCCCTTTTTTTTTAAACTAATTATATGTTTGATTGCTAGGATACCTTTAAAACTTTTTCATATAATCTTTACATTTTTTAGAAAAAAATATTATTTGCATGATTATATCGTTTCATTATTTAAAAGATAATTTATCTTTGTGCCATTTTATCTAGTTGTATGAGTGGTACATACTAATATTATGTACATGTATTTATTGTTTTGCAATTATATATTATTATACTCAGGCTTTCTACAAATAAGAGGCGTGAAAATAGGTCCCTCCACTGTGGGCTACGTTGATTCTAAACTTGCTATTGAGATAGGAAGAATCACAGGAAGATATGTCTTGCCACCATGCATTATTATAAGATTGATATTGACTTTCATAGTTCTCTTTGCAATCCTAATATATAAATGGCGAAGAAGACATATATCCATGTATGAAATTATTGAAAATTTTCTTCAAGGAAACACATTGGTGCCAATAATGTATTCTTACAGAGAGATAAAGACTATGACTAAAGGTTTTAAGTACAAGCTTGGTGAAGGAGGGTACGGTTCTGTGTATAAAGGAAAGTTACGCAGTGGATCTTTTGTAGCCATAAAAATGTTGGGTAAACCTAAGGCTAATGGACAAGAATTTATTAGCGAAATCGCAACTATAGGAAGAATACACCATGCCAACGTTGTGCGACTTATTGGATTTTGTGTTGAGGGGTCAAAACGTGCTCTTGTTTATGAATTCATGCCCAATGGCTCTCTAGATAGATACATTTCATCCAAAGAAGATAATATTTCTTTACCCTGTGATCAAATGTATAAGATATCTCTTGGAGTGGCTCGAGGTATTGCTTATTTACATCAAGGGTGTGACATGCAAATTTTGCATTTTGATATCAAGCCTCATAATATCCTTCTTGATGAGAATTTTGTTCCCAAAGTTTCAGACTTTGGTCTAGCAAGGCTTTATCCTGTTGATAATAGCATTGTTACTTTGACAGCAGCAAGAGGAACAATTGGTTACATGGCTCCAGAATTATTCTACCAAAATATAGGAGTATCATTCAAGGTTGATGTTTACAGCTTTGGAATGCTTTTGATGGAAATGGCAAGCAAGAGAAGAAATTTGAATCCACATGCAGATGATTCAAGTAAATTATTCTTTCCCTTTTGGATTTACAATCAACTGATTGAAGAAAAGGATATAGAAATTGGGGAACTTACCAATGAGGAAAAGAATAATATAAAGAAGATGTTCAAAATTGCCTTATGGTGTATACAACTGAAACCTAGTGATCGTCCTTCAATGAAAAAAGTAATAGAAATGCTCGAAGGAGATGTTGAGAGCATTGAAATGCCTCCAAAGCCATCTTTGTATCCAAATGAAATGATTCAAGGAGATCTTGAAACCAACTCAGATACAACCATATCAAATAATGCTGCCAGCTTAATTAGTTTATAGAACTAATGTATTCTACTTGTTAATTCAGGTATTTTACTTAATAATTATTAATAATTTGCTTTTGTAGTTATATTTCTTAGTTTAGTCATCAATGAAGAAATAACTTAGAGTGTACATGAGCAACATATTTCACACCACTTGTAAAATCTACATTAATATTTATTGTTTCTAAAATATTGTTGACAAATATGAAGAGTTACGCAATTTGTAAGACTTTATTGTATTTACAAGTATGAGTTGATTTATTTAGTAAAAAGCCTTGTTGTTATGTCTTATCGTAAGCAAAATTAGTCACAAACTATGACTAACTTGGAGCTAAAAAATATGTCTCTACATATCAAATTTAAATTCTCATTCTCAAATAATAATATTTTTAAAAAATATTTTAAACAATAGTACCTTGTAAGTTTTTAATTTCAACTTTAATTTTATTTAGCTTATTAAAAAATTATTTATTATTTATACTATTTTTTTATAAATATTTCTCTAGAAATTCACCTAAATAAGGCCTTGGTTTTATAAATTTTAAAAAATCATACAATATTTATTTTAATTTAACTAAAGGTATTTAATAAAAGTCATCATTCTTAAATAAAGATGCCTTCATGTGTTATTTTAAATTAAAATAATTTTAAGAACAATTATCTTTTTCAACATGCTATGTAACCTTTATTATCTTCATTTTTTATTAAATTTATTTTTTATAGTGTTTTTTTAATTTAATCATATTTTATTTTATTTTATTTTAATAATTAATTAATTTAAAAAATAGTTTAACAATATATTAAAAATTTTAAAATATTTTTATTTAATAATACAGATACAATATATGAAAAATTCATTAGCTTAATAATATTATAAGTAAACTCATAAATTAGTGTGCATGTTAGTCTTTTACTCTTTAAAATTATTTCCTTAGTCTCTAACACTGTAGTCTGTTGTGTAATTATGTCTCTGCCATTGACAAACAATTGAAATACGTTAACTTTTATTGTAAAGTGGCAGGTAAATGCTCAATAAGATCATTTCACACATTCTCTCATTTCTCTCTCTTTCCCTCTCTTTGGAGCCATGCCTTCACAATGGTTTGCATCCCTGAAAACATATCATTGCTTTCCACCCCTGCATCCTCATTGCCATAATCTCCATTGGCAAAGAAGTCCTCATCACAGTTTGCTAACATATTACTCCCTCAACCTCAGATCTCTACCTCGACATTAACAACGTTTACTTCTTTGTCTTCTTCTTCCAGATCCAACGTAATGGAGCCCGAACTTGTGGTTGTTCAAGGTGGGTCAAAAGTTTCATGGGTTACATATATGATAGTGTGAAGTGTGATGCATGAAAAAAGAATGAGAGTATGTGTTTAAGAAAGAGAAGGCTTTTAAGAATGTCATAGTTAGGAAGAGGGAATGTTAGATACCAAATCAGTAAAATTAGTCCTTGAAATTACGTGAAATAAATCATTTTAGCATTTAAATGTTACTTAACAACAAAAGTCATGTCAGAGATTAATAGAACGATTTTAAAAATAATGAATTAATATATACAACTACTTCTATTTAAAATACTAATTTAATGGTTTGTTTATTAATTTTTAGGTGAGAATAGAGGTGGCAAAGTAATTCAGCCTATTCTCCCTCACCAAAAGTTCACCAAAGTAATTTGCCAATCTCATCCTATTTTAAAAGTAGATTAAATTTTTTAGGCTAACTCATTAAGGTGTAGATTAACCAGCTAAAATTAACATGAAAATAAAATAAAAGTTACAAAATTCAATAAAAATTTAAAAAATATATTTAAAATTATTTAAATGATATTTTTATACTAGTAAAAATTAATATTTAATTAATAAATAATTATATTAATTTTTAAAATTTTAAAAATGGGCTCGAGGCTAAGCTACCTGAACTTGCTGTTGGCCTACATTTAGATGGGTTAGAATAGGAGAAGTTAAGCGAGCCTGGAAATATAGAAACTTCAACCTGACTGGTCATTTTCAGCAAAGTAGATGGGCCTAGGCCCAATTTGCGACTCTAAGTGGGGGAGTCCTTCTTTCTAATTTTTATATATAAAAGATAAAATCTAGGTATCATGTACACAAATAAAAATATTAAAAAATCACAACTATTAATTAAAAAAATATAAAATACATTTTCAAATTTATAATTACCACCTACAAATAATACTCCAGTATTAATGTATTATACACGAAATTCGTCAGATAATTTAAATTATAAAAGTAAAATAAAAAATAATAAAAAAGTGGGTGGTAGTGTTTGTTTGCCGCAGTTACACTCCCAAGTCGCTGCGCAGATTGGGATTGGGCGTGGAAGATGAAAATGCTATCCACACTTCAAACCCCTCGCTCCCTCTCTCGCCTCTCTCTCATTCCCTCCAACACCTTCACTTGTCACACGTTCACTTCACGCGCTTCCCTCACAGACCAATCCGTCACTACCACTACACCCGTGCCGCCGCAATCCCAAATCCTTTCCCTCCGCCACTCCCTCCTCTCCCGCCACCTCACCGCCGCAGACCTCGCCCGCTCCTACCTCACGCGCCTCCGCCTCTCCGAGCCTCACCTCCGCTCCTTCATCCATCTCCCCGATGACGACGCTATCCTCGCCCACGCACGCCGCCTCGACGCCAAAATCGCCGCAGGGGAGGAACTCGGCCCCCTCGCCGGCGTGCTCGTCGGCGTGAAGGATAACATCTGCACCGCCGACATGCCGTCGACCGGCGGGTCCCGCATCCTGGAGGGATACAGGCCGGCGTTCGACGCGACGGCGGTGAAGAGAGTGAAGGAATTGGGTGGCATTGTTGTTGGTAAGACCAATTTGGATGAGTTTGGTATGGGCAGCACCACTGAAGCTTCTGCATTTCAGGTTCTCTCTTTCCCAATACTATTTTTCCAAAATAGTTTTTTTACCATGTATTGTATTTTCTTACGTTTCGGTTTTACTTTTTGAAAGTTGTTATTTCTTCGGTTAATTCATGTGACATTATGATAATAATTATATATGTAATGTTTTTCACCATTTAAATATTTATAAATATGTAATATAACAGTAGTTATTTACTTATATTTTAAGGGTTTTGCTAGTCGGTGCCGGTTACTGGTTAAGGAAACAGAAGTGAAATTTTTTAACTTGTTGGAGTGTATTGAAAATCACTGGAGGAAGTTTATTAATTACATTTTAGAGGAAAACCTTCCACTTTTCACAGCATTTTCGATATTTTAAACAATGTATCATACGTTTAAATAAAGTAAGACGATAAAATATTAATTCATTTTTAATTTGCGTAAAAATTTGTGTACTTGATTTATTTTTTTAGGACTTCAAAATAAATAGTTAGATTGAGAAAGTTTACTTTTGATAGAAAATTATTGCAGAAATTATTTAATTCCATTCCCTCCGCCCCTTCTCTCTCTCAATATATATGTACGTATGTATTATTATTAGGTTTTGAAATTGAGAGATTCTTTGTTAGATACGTTAGTGGAAGGGTTAGTGGTGGATAGGGATGATTGATGATCCGGACATGGCTGGTGTGGCATGTTTTGATTGGTGTGATGTAAGAGCATTGTGTCATGCCAGGTGTGTCTAAGAATGTATCTTATCAAATTTCAAATGCCCGGTTTGTGTTAGTAGTAATGATTAATTTGAGAAGGGGTACCTTAATGTGGTTGCTTGTTTCATTCATTTTGTGTTCAGAAAGTGATATGTTGATTGCTGATTCTGTAGTGAAAGCAGGACTTTAGTGTTTGTTTGGGGAAGAATATGAGATGAATGAAGATTTTCAATGAAATGACATGATGGATGTTGTTACACACTGTGATGCATTGCTAATTGTCATTCCTCTTATGTTCCTTCCCCTTTTGTTATTACAAAATTTAATGAAAAAAAAAATTGGGTTTGTGTTGCCCCACATGTGGGTAGGCTAAGATTTTATCTTGTTTGGTTTCTAGCTTTATTGCTTATATTGCTCTTTTATAACTGCGATTGGTTTACTCAGGTGGTGCATATGTTCATTCAATAGGTGACTGCTAACCCGTGGGATGCGTCCAGGGTGCCAGGAGGATCGTCAGGAGGTTCAGCAGCTGCAGTTTCTGCCAGGCAGTGTGTGGTATCGTTGGGAAGTGATACTGGTGGAAGTGTGAGGCAGCCGGCATCTTTTTGTGGTGTTGTAGGTTTGAAGCCAACATATGGGCGCGTCTCAAGATTTGGACTTATGGCATATGCATCGTCACTTGATGCCATTGGCTGCTTTGGTTCATCGGTCGCTGATACTGGGATTCTCCTTCATGCAATTGCTGGCCATGATAGATTTGATGCCACCTCAAGTAAGCAGGTAAGAGTCTGCATTCTTCACCATGTTTGGTATAATTGTTCTAAGCCATCCAATTTCTCATTATTGCCTTCTTGGGCTGTTAAATCTGTCTTAATAAGATGGATGATTGGTGACATCACTCTAAGTGTTATTTATTTCTTGTTGTTAAGCCAATTTTTTTTTCAATAATGAATAGTTTCATTTGTCAGGACGTACCCAACTATCTATCTCATTTTGCCCCTGTGAGTTCCTTGGAAAGTAAGCCCTTGAAGGGACTGCGAGTTGGTCTGATCCGTGAAACTATTGATGATGGTGTTGATGCTGGAGTAATTTCTGCCATTCGTGCTGCTGCTTTGCATTTTGAGGAATTAGGATGCTCTGTGAATGAGGTCCTTATCATATTTTTTCTATAATTCTCAATGATTACTTCTATTGGTGGTATACAAGTTTGTGTTGTTACAGTTTATGTCTTCAGTGTGTCCTTTTCATTTGCCTATTAACTTATTACAGGTCTCACTGCCATCCTTTTCCCTTGGGTTGCCAGCATATTATGTCCTTGCTGTGTCTGAATCATCTTCCAACTTGTCTCGTTATGATGGTATTAGGTAAGCAATTGAGCCCCCTTTCCTTATATCTCCGCTCTGAATATACACACAACTGACCACAATGTTTCATTTTATGTTCTATATTTTCATTGCTAAACCATAATCATGACTTTAGTCCTTTGTATATACATATTTAGATATGGAAACCAAGTTTATGCTGATGAGCTAGATTCTCTTTATGGAGTTTCTCGAGCCAAAGGATTTGGTTCTGAGGTATGCACCATTCAGTCCTTAATTTCAAATTTGGCTATGGGATGTGTGATGACTTTATATATATACCTGTTCAAAAGATATGGTCCCAATTTATCTGCATTGCTATTTAAGCTGGCTTTCAATTTTCAATGTCTCAGGTCAAAATGAGAATTTTGATGGGGACATACGCCCTTTCAGCTGGTTACTATGACGCATATTACAAGCGTGCGCAGCAGGTACTACTAATATTATTTTACATAGTTTCTTGGTGGGTCTTACTAAGTCTTAACCTAATAATTATGAATGCAGTTTCATACGTTTGGTGTAGAATCAGATACATGTTGCTTTAAGAAGTTCTATGTTTCTAGAGTTAATCATTACTCCATGTATGTCCAGTTCTTTATGAGTTTCCTATAATCTACTATTACTAATCATGGTTACTTGCTACTACTGTGATAGATACACTTTTGATTCAACATGCAGGAAGATAGTAATATTGATGTTCTTAATTCCATCTTCTATGATAAATAATATTTATGAGATTTTGGTTTTTGATTGATTATAATGGTGCCATGTAATCAACCCCGACTAGTGGGATAAAGCTTTTGCTATTGTTGGTATTAATTTCATCTTTTCAAGAGGTTTAAGATTTCAATAAAGATATTTGTGAGAACTACGTTACAGGTAAGGACCATAATTAGGAATAGCTTTAAGGAGGCACTAAACCAAAATGACATCTTGATTTCCCCTGCAGCCCCTTCAGCTGCTTATAAAATTGGTAAGCATGTACATCTTTTTGCTTCTGCGTTATTGTACTTTAGTTACTGCATGTTAATTGTTTCTTTCTTTGCCTTTGGCATTTGCAGGTGAGAAGAAAAATGAGCCTTTGGCTATGTATGCAGGTGACATCATGACTGTAAGCATTTCATTCTTCTTGTGAGATAGATTTCTGTATCATAATTTTGATTATGTCAACCTAAAAGTGTTAGTATGAGGTCTTTAGACTAAGACTTGTGCTATTGAACTTCTTCCACTCCACTGAGCTCAAGCTTGAGTCATACATGAGCTACGAAAGCTTTAATAGTTTTTGAGCACATGAGCAGACCACATAACTGATGGTGATCAGATCTGGCAAAAATTGTGGGAGCCTTAGATAGAAAATCTAGATGGGTGCAAACCTATCCATGAGTTATCTTTTGCTAACAGTTAACAGCAGGGTTGGTTGCATTGCATGAGTTTGTCCTCAACATGTGCCAAGTAAGGGAATTTCCTATTGGAGTTAAGTCTCCATTGAGCGTAACTAATTATGTATCCAATGGTCTAGTTTAGTCGTCTTTGTGTATTGTATGAAATTTTGTTCATATACACATTAACATATCATGCACAGTGTTTGCCTTTCTTTATTGGTGGTTTGTCCTTTTACAGGTAAATGTTAATCTAGCTGGACTACCTGCCTTGGTTTTGCCATGCGGATTTGTTGATGGTGGGCCGGCAGGCCTTCCTGTTGGCCTGCAAATGATTGGTGCAGCATTTGATGAGGTATTAACTTTTCCTTTCCACGGCAATGGACTTGATGGAGTTCTCTATGTTACTTGTAGTCATGTTTTCTTTACTAATCTTTATTTCTTACAAATATAAAAAGGCAGATGCTGTTTACCTATTAGATTTTTTAACTTTAAGTTGAAAATGATCAAATAAGATCGGAGGAAGAAAAAAATTGAAAATTAAAGCTTCTGTAGTGCTAATGTAAAATTCTAAGGAAATTCCTCCCTTCTATCTATCAAATGAGCTATTTGTGTAGAAGGTACATATCATGATGATCTTATGTTTTGATGTTGATTTCTCTCTTCTCTCTTTCTTGGGATGGTTCTAAGGTTGTTGTTCCAAACTTTTGCTTTTCTGTGAGCATGGACACTATGCACCAAGTTTTGACTCAAATTCCTCACATTTTTTGTGATGCCACTCACTCAGAGAAAAGGTGCAGGACGATGTAGTAGCATAAAGGTTAAAAAGATCTTGAGCTGAAAGACTATCAAAATTTAAAAAGTGAATAATAAAGAGAGGAAACAGTACTAATCAAGTTTTAAGTATTCATAGAAAACAATTTCCACATGATTGAAGAACTTAACAATTATGGATTAATGTAAAATTTTATCAATAGATCTGTATGATAGGAACTTTCAATCCAGTGGTGGATTTGGGATAAAATTATTTGCTAAAGTTATTCATAGGTGTGATTTTGACTTGTACATATTTATAAGCGACTCCTCCGGTCTCTCTGTAACTATCCAACATTTTTAGGAAAGATACAGTTTGTCAGTCTGATTTCTTTGCTTCTAAGATATAAAGTATCGTATAGCCAAGGTTAACTAATTTGGTCTTACTGATATTTTGATTGAAAAAGTTGGGCCTTTGACTTCTGTGGAATAACACATCTAATGAAGAAAATGTGGTAGTCTTTAGTATATTTTTGACATTGAGCAACAGAATGATCCTTTGGCTGGGAATTTCATTGCAGGGAGAGCTGCTGAGAGTGGGACATATCTTTGAGCAAACTCTTGAAAATTACAGATTTGTTCCACCAATTGTAGCTGATGACATTGTATACTGAGTACAAGTTATCATCCAACATTTTGGTGATCCATCAATAATTCCAAGAGTTTCATGGCAATGAGGTAGCTGAAGCATGTGTTTTTGGGCAGTTCATTGTATGCTAGTGGGATTCAAATTAGTAAATTTAAGGACAGTATGGATTTTGAGTCTTTTGACACAGGCAATACCTCTTTAAATGTTCTAGTCACGCAACTGAAACTGGGTCAAGTGAGCTTGAAAATTCACTATTTGAAATTGAATATGTTCATAATAAACCTTCAAGTAGTTTTTGATGAGGGGGCTCGCCTGCAGTGGTTAGCAATTGTATGAATAATTAATATGTTGTGTTTATTCATTGTAAATCTAGCTAGATTGGTCGTGTGTAAAAGAGCAAAATGGTCTTTTGCTCTAAATTTTTTTTTTCCCTTGTAATTTATGCTTAAGGATTTATTTCGTTATTAGTTTCTTCAAACTTTTGAATAAGGATTTTTGTTTGAATTTTTAATTTCTTTTGGAATTTGCTTGAATACGTGGCTTTAATCAGTCTACTGTTTGCACCGGTATGTGCTTGTAGCCACCAAACTCTTCAATTTGTCAGCCTCTAATGTGACAATTTTATAAGGATGTTCAAACCGTAATTGAAGAATAGAGAGTACATAGCCTTGGTATGATGAAGAGATACAAATTTTATAGGTTTTAAGAGGGAAATTTATATGGCTCGAAAGAGAGAAAAAAGTTTAATATAAAGTATCCTTAAGGCAAGCTCAAAACTATCTTTGCCTTTTATATATTTAAATTAGAATAAATTATTTTCAATAATCTAAATTTGTACCATTTTTTGTTTAATAATATTTATAATTAGAATTAACTGAAATACATTAACATTTCCCAAGTTTTTTTTATGATCATCTAATAATAGACTATTGGGTAAATAAAAATTGTTGATTTTTTAAAATAATTACTTCAAAAGTCATAAATAATTAGAATGAGATTGTTGTAGTGGGACTACTGATCTTCAGTTTGAGTTTTGAGTATGTAATCGTATTAAATATTCAAACAGTAAGTTTTCTCAAACATAAAGTTTTTTTTTAATTTATTTATAATGGTCTTACTAACTTGAGTATAAGTTATGTATATATATAGAGAGAGAGAGATAGAGTAGTCCAAATAAAAAAAATCATCAATAAAAAACTAATAATATTTAAAACATTAATTCAAGAAGATAATAAAAAGAAAGAAAAACTTGTCAAAGGTGAGAAGTATGTTTTACTAAGAACATGCTAATGGCCAAATACTAGTTTTGTGAGAATAAGATTAAATGGCCAGTTCAACCAATCCGACTGCAAACTTGAATTTTAGCTATCGTTACACTTTAAATAAATATACAGTTATATTAGTCTTGACCAATTAAAATTCAGTTGGACTCACTAATATATAACCAGTTGAAGCAATCGAAATCCAAACTTATTTTTATTACACCAATCAAACTCTAAATTCTTAATCCTTACACCCACTGTTACTTTCATTATCTATTTTAAATTTTATTAAAATTAAACAAATTATAATAATATGATCGAATCATTTTATTTTTATATGTTTTAAAATTTCAAACTATGCTAATTTTAATATTCATGAATAAAATATTAAATAATTTTGAATTGATTTAAAATTTTGCAGATATTTATAAATCATAGGATTTTTTAAACAAATGATTGATTTTATGAAAATTTTCCAATCTCCTTTCATTGGTGAAGAGATGCTGGAAATAACAACAGCACAGCATGGGCATTGTAGTCATTTTCTTTCTTAATAATGTTGACTTGTAAAATTAATTATCTAAATTATATTTTTTTTCAAGCAAAAAATCACCAAACACAAAAAAAAATTTAAAAAAAATTGCCACCACAATTATTGTTTCTGAAAAGTAATAGATCGCTGAATTCTCGACGAGGATTCAATAAATTTATCAAATATTATTTCTTTATAGGGTAAAGTAGTCAAAATGGTAACGTAAATTCATTTATATTATCTTATTTTATTTAATAAAAATATTTTTTAAAAAAATTATTATAATTTATAAATATTTATAGTTTTTAAATTTTAAGTTACGGCCACTAAATATATCATTTTACATTTTCAAATACTTCAATTATTTGTTATATAAATACTTTTAATTCAATCAATAAATTTATTAACATCCAACTATATTTTAAAATTTTAATTAACTTATCACCTTACTTCCTTTAATAGTGGTTGGTGTATGGAGAACATAGCAAATTCTATTTCCCTTTTTCTCTACAAAAAAATATATAATATTTTTAATTTTTGTGTTCTGATTGATATTTTGTTTCATTTCAATTTAACATGTTTTCGAAACATTACCTTTATTCTGTTTATGGTCTATACTGTGCTCAATCCAATTTATGAAAATTGAAACGGATCAAACTCTTAATCGAAAAGTTAAAAATTGAAAAATAATTTTTATTTAGTTTGGATTGGTTTTTAGTTCCTGTTTTTAAAATTGAATCAAATCACATTCTTCTATAACATTTATATATTTTTTAAAAAAATTATACTAAAATCGGTTAAGGAAATTGTTTATATTACTTTTCACCGAAATGTTAAGAAATGAATAACTTGTAGTAATATATTCTTAAATTATTATAGGTACTGTGTCTTATTTTCAGGGTGAGTAATGAGTAATAATATTTTAAAATAAATTATGAAAAAATAAATTTTAAAATAATTTTAAATTAAAAATGCATAATGTAATTTACTACTTAATATAATGAGGAAAATTATTAAAAATTCCTTACTTCAAAAATTAATACTCATAAATTATATATAGTGGTTGATTTATTTTAATTTTATCTCATAATTTTCCAATATTTATATTTTTTAAATCATTTTCCTGCACAAAATTTAAAAAATGCAACAGATTAAAAATAAGATATATTTATATTTTACTATTTTAATTAAAAAAAACCTAATTCAAACAATTTGTGATAGTATTGTTATCCTCTTTCCTTCCAATATACTAAAAATCAAATGAATAAAATGAACAGAACAAAAACAAGAGCCTGATTGGAAATGGCCAAGAATTGATTATAGTTAAAAGTAAAAAATAAAATAAAATCGTATCCACTTAATCAAATTTCCATCTTTTCTTGTTGGTAATTTTAAAAAAGAAAAGGTTAAATAATAATAATAATAATAATAATAATAATAATAAGGAAGGCAGTTAAAAAACGCGCCAGCACAAATATTTATCGGCACAGCGAATCCTCATCCATTTCACATTGACACGACACTCCCTCACGGCGCATGTTAGCATATTCGGCGCCGATAAAAAAACAAAGCGCGTGAGACCCACGCGCCTCGTCTTCCTCTTGCAACCATTGTAGACACTCTCTTTCTCTCTCTATCTCCGTTTCGATCGTGTCTTTGATTCGTCGACGTTCCTGTGCCCTCTTTCGGATCCTTTTTCGTTTCGATCGAATCTGTAAGCACATCGAAATTTTTCTGTGCATCTTTGTTTGAAATTGAATGAATTGAGCTTCTTTTTCGATGATCTTAACTATCATTCTTCCATTTTTTTTTCAATTTTTAATTAAAATTGGAAAATATGTGGTTTCTTAAAATTACCTGTTTGACAGATTTTAATTGGGAATTAGGGGTTCGTGGGAACTCTAATTTTTGTTTTTTGTGACAAAATACCCAAATTTTCTGCAAGAAGGGGGTGAACCTTATAGTTATAGATCTTCTGTTTTTAATGTTATGAATTAATAAATGATGAAGGTTTTCGTGATCAAGCTCAATTTTCAGTTACCTTTTTACTTAATAGATTTAACCATATTGATGGTGTTTTTGCTTCATAAGGATAGTTCACGTGATTGTTTTGGGTGAATTATTATTATTATTATATGGGTGCTGCTGCTGATTTTAACTGGTAATTCATGTACCAAAAAAAAGGGTGGTACTTGGCTATGTCAGGCTCAGCTTACTGAGAAAGTGCAAATTAGAGGAATTATATATATATATATAAATTGTTTTTTTTTTAACTTGGGCAAACCAATGCATCAAAAAGATATTTTGTATAGTAAGGCTGTGTTGAATATTAAAGAATTCAATACATTAATACCATTAATGCTACAATTTTCAATAAAAACTTACTATTTATTAATTTCTCATTATGTATTCTTTTGCTCAGGTTAGAACAGCTGATATATAAAAGCTGAATTTAGGTAGTTTTCATTGTCGCTTTTTACTTTTTTTTTAATGCAATTGTATTGTATTGTTTTCTTGGTGATCAGTGTTGTTATGATGAGAAGAGATCAAATTTCTGCCCGTAAGATGCCAACGCTGGTGGACCTTTGTGTTCAGAAAGTGATAGACAATATAAGGTACCTTGGAAATGTTGGTTGTGTTGATCAGCATCTGCTCGAACAAATTTTGCCGCACTGCACTCTTGATCAGTTGAGGCATGTGGAGAAGTCCACTGAAGTAAGATGAGATTTGTTGTTTTTGTTAACTGGAAATGAAGTTGGAACTAGAATAAAATGGTTATCTAATGTGCTTGATGTGCTTTTGCAGGGCAGAGATCTGACCCCTGTAACTGATAAATTATGGAAAAAGTTCTTTGAAATGCAGTTTGGCGTGAATTGCACTAATGAAGTAATTAGGAGAATGAGAGAAAAAAGAGTGTCATTTAAATGGATGCAGTTGTATGAGGTATTTTTTATTATTTGTTTTGTTGTTTTTACTTTTTAGGTTCAGTTATATTTTATTTAGAAAGGAAGTATATAATGTACCTTCTCTTATTTTTTCTTTCCTAGCTAGGACACCATTATCAGTTGTGCTATGCTAATTAGCTATAACTGACTCATGGGTGAGTCGTAGTTTAGTACTGATTGACTCTAATTTTAGTGAATGATTAATACTGTACAATGTATATAGTATAAAAATATAATTGTATGGATTGACAAGTCTCAGTTTTTCCTTAAATCTCTTCTAATTTATACACAGGCAAAAGTTAAGGAGATGGCTCAGGTAGAGAATGAAGCACTTGATCGAATCAAGAAACTGTACGAGAAAGAAGATGCCAGTATGACCCTAGCCTTTTTATTTATTTATTTTGAGGGGCGGGTGGACTTGTTTAAGTTTTTAATATTGCTTTTTCTGCTTTATTTATGGTGACCGTCTCTTCCTTTACCTTCTTTGTACTTATTTATCCATCTAATTAATATGCTTGTTTTTATTTTAAAAAATGCTCATATAACTATTAATTGCTTATTTGATTTGATGAGTAGCAATTATTGTATGCTTATATTTCTTCTACCGCTAGTTTAAAATATTTACCTAGTATTGGAACTCTGTAGGAAAACAGAGTAGGCAAGTAAGGCTATGCACCAAAGTTCCACCTTCAAGTAAAAGAAAATTTTGGGGAGGTAATTCTTTAATATTCTTATTTTGTTTCCTTCTTGTTCACTCTACGACTGCACTTTAATTAAGTGCATTTGAAATTTTATCAATTTATAGCTTTTATTTATTTTTCATCTTTGAGGATCTGTTGTAGATAATGGACCTGGATACAATGTATCAAATGTGAAGAGCAACATAATGAAGAAGGCAAAGATAGAATTTCTAAAGAGGTAATCTTTCTTTTATAATTATACAATGCTTTCTAGGATCTCAGGTTCAACGAAGACTTCCATCTAATTAAGTCGGCAAGCTTTCTGTAGGAGGGGATGCTTGCTTTTTCAAATAAGAAATAATTAACTATTTTTATTTACTTTTAAAAAATTATTTGGAAACTACGCTTACTTCTTGTATCATGCACATGATTGCATTTAGTTATTTATCATTCATAAGCTTTCTTACTTCACTGTAATTTTCTTCTTAGGTTGGAAACATTTCCTTAGAATTTCATAAAATACTACAAAATTTCCCTTTGCCACCTAATAATATTAAGTTAACTGGAGCAAAATATTTTAAAAATATTCAGACCTCATCGTATCATGAAGCTCACAGGAATTATATTTGGTATAATTCGGTGTTGTGACATGCATCTTGAAGCTTATATACTCAACTGAATATTGACTTCAATCTTCTTTTCTGAATTTCTTACAGTCAGGAGGTTAAAAATCTTGCAGCAATGAAGAAGAACTCTATCCAGAGTCGTCCTAGGTACATATAATATCAGTTTTTCAGTAGAAACTATTTCCTGGCATTCACTTTTGTCCTTGTTTTTTGGGTTTATCAGGTTGAACTATATTTAATCCTTGTTTTTTTTTTTTTCTCTTTTCCTCAACAATTCTCATGCTGTTGCTCAATGTCCTGTAGTTCATCAAGCATCATGAAGAGTGGAAGTATTTCTGGAATTGGTTCAACTTCTAAAGATCCCAAATCTACAAAAAGGATATTTTAGGGGTAGACTGTGAAAGATAGCAATGCCATGTATCATGATTTGCTTTTAAATTGTAATAATTTTTACATTTATCTCCATGATAAGAAAAATTGGCTTCAATTTCCCCGCTAAGCATTTTATTTGTGATTGCATTTATGTTTGCCGCATAGATAGCATCAAGGTATGCATGGTAATTATTGTAATGTATTGATTTCCGTGTATAAATAAAGTTCCTTTAATTTGCATATTAGATTGTTATGGTTTAGCTGCAGGCATGGGAAAGTCTATATAGTTTTGTTCACCAATTAGTGAACTAGTTTCAACTTTCAATTTAAATAGGGTGGAGGGAATTGGAATTGCATGTTTTATTATTATTTTTTCTTTAAAATGTTATCTCTTTTTAAGTTATGAACTTGTCTTTCTCAACCTTGATTTGTACAAATTGTATTCTTTGGATGAGCTAATGAGAAGGAATGGCTGCATGCATATAAAATAACCTGCAATTTGAATTCATTAATGGTTAAACTATTTCTATAATTTTTTTTTTCAGTACAATGGCTAGGAACTGATAAAATTTATTCCTTTTTGAAGTTTTGGTACCCCCCTCCCTCCTTCCTTGTAATGAACTTTTGCTATATAAATGGATAAAAATATCACTTGTGAGATAGTACGGAGATGCATTCAAATATCATGGTAGAAAATTTGTTACTGGTTTACATTTTCATTAGGGGTTAGCTTTTGTTATAAGAAAAGTGTCTTTCATAATAAAGTTTTTCCAAAACACAAAAATTGGCAAATGCCTTGTGGTTTTCACTTCTAATAATACTGATATATAATATTAAAATTTATTTTTACAATAAAACTATTTTTATTTTATTTTGAGTTTGGAAAGGGATGTTTTAGAAGAAAGGGAAAAATAAAAAAAAATATTTTAAATAAATATATTTAAACTTATTTTTTAAAAATAAAAAATATAAATTGATATATTATCATAGATTTAATATATTAATAATGTATTTATCAACATAAATAATATACACAATTCTCTTAATTTAAAATTTAAGAATTTAAAATTTTAATAAAAGTCCTCTAGGCACTCACTTTTCAGGAAAAAATATAAGCAAATTAATTTGAATAATATATAATTTATTAACAAATTATTCTGAAAAAAAAAATTTGGAGCCTTCCCCACGAATTCATGTAATAAAATAGCATCCTCCTCTCATACTGAACCACGACCCTTCCCCCAAATTCTTGAAAATAATTAGAAAATTTTAATATCAACTTTTAAGATTTATTTTAAATATCTAAAACTATTTTTATTAAAACGGATAATTTATGACATTGAAATTAAATTCATTCTTATTAACTTTATATATCCCAGCAATCAGTTTCATTCAACATGTAGGTCACTGCAGAAAATTTTTCCCTCAAACTAGAACCTCTTTCATCCACCCTTTTAAATTGTGCTCTTAAAACTGAATTTAAGCTTTTAAAAATATTTTTTATTAAAAAAATTCCATTAATTATGTTTTACATATTTTCAATGTTATAAATGTTTTTTATCTAATAAAAAAAATGTTATCACTTTTCAGGCTGAGGTTTATACTTCTATAAAAATTTTAGTGCACAATTATAAGATCTCAACATTGTACTTGAAGCATTTCATTTTTTATATTTTATAAACCATCAAAATAAACTAGAGAAAATATTTTTGTTTTTTTCTGAGAATAAGAAGTACTTAAAAAAGTAGTCTAATTGATTTAATGATGTTATTCATCTATTTGATATCATAATTGTATACAAAAACAGATAGAATTATTTTTTTATGTACCAGAAAAAAAATATTCTTTTCTCTGGACTTATTGATAAATTATACATCACCTCATGACAATTCACTAGTAAATCCAAAGGCTATATCCCAGATCCAGTAAGTCGCCTCTTTGAGGCATTTGATACAGCCAATTGACCAAGTTTGTCCGCGTCACTTGATACAGTCCTTTCTTTGATTGGTGTATAATGCCTCAACCATTCTCCAACATAAGCCTGGAACATATAATAGATTTGTGATATCAAAGAACAGAAACACAAAGGCTGCTTGAACCAGTCTGTGGAAGGGAGAACATAAAACCAGCCATAACAATAATAGCTCAAAAGAACCAAAACCTGTAAATTTGTAACATTTTCCTAGGCCAATTTTTAGTTAAAATGTTAATTTTGAAAAAAAATAAAATAATAGGGTAAAATATATTTTTAATCCTTGTAAATATGGTAAACTTTGGTTTTAATCCTCCAAAAATATTTTTCTTGGTTTTGGATCTTATAAATTTTAAAACTTTTAGACATGTCACGTATATGTCACCTCAAAGTGGTAACTAATGTGGCAAGATGCATGCCACATCATTACTAAGTAGTAATATGGACAATTTTCGAAAAAATCAAAATTTATGAGAAACATAACCAACAAAAAAAATGTAGGAACAAAACTAAACACATTTATATATTTACTGGAACTAAAAATATATTTAAGTCAAAAAATTAGAACAGTCCAGTTTAATGTGAACAGTCAAGTTATAAGACAATTTAGGATCAATGGACCAAGTATGTCTTAATTTTCTGTAACACTAACTGCACAAAGCCACAAACTAATGATCTATGCATTATCATTTCATTCATCAACTTCCAAGAAAATAACAGTGTAATATTATACCAACCAATTTACTATTTCCAAGTATAACTGAGTTATAAGATTGGTTCTATAACTGTCAGTAGAACCTATCAAATCTAAGCCGCTAAGAGATATAGCAAACTACCAGGTAAAAGGCTTCTGTAGTTTTATTAAGATGGTATAACTTTATCATTTGCTTTTGTTTACCTGCTTAATGGAATGTTAAAAGGGGCTATGAGAAAAGGTTGGCAGAAAGCCAACTCTGCCATTTCATCCAAGACTCGCTTGTGTTATCGGCTACCACATCAAGTCTGATGTATTTTCAAATATTTCCCATTACTAAAGAAAGATATAATTCAGCTTCAAAGTGATACAAGGCAACCATTTTCAAGGACACCAAATGGTAAACTAACACATACATATGACTTAAAGAAAGGAAATAACCTGTTGAGGTCTCATAATCTTTGTATCAGGATCATCCAAGGATTCTCGCCAATGTGCCAAGTATCCAGCCATTCGAGGAATAGCAAATAAAACAGTGAAAAACTCAGGTGGAAACCCCATGGCCCTGATTGCATAAAACCACCAGCTCAATCCAAATCATATATAATCTGGAAAGGAGTAACGTCTTCTACTCCCTGATTAAAAAAAAAGGTGGATGTAATACTGGGTTACCTATAAATCAATCCAGAGTAAAAGTCAACATTTGGATACAGCTTCCTCTTGATGAAATACTCATCAGACAGTGCAATCTTCTCCAAGGAAACTGCAATCTGAACAATAAAATACTTTTATATAAAACTTTCAAGTTCATACTAAATATATTGAACTAAGTTGACATCATAGTGAGCAGAAGAAACTTTCCTGGTCAGATAATCACTATTGATTGAAACTTAATGATATGCTTTAAATTTGAAAACAAATGCCTTACAAAGATTTTGGCTGAATTTTAGTAGAATTAAATTAAAATACTTACACATATGTACATTATATGTAAAAACTATTCAAAAGAATCTGTAACACAAATTTATAAAACAAAAAAAAAAGTCTCAAAATAATACAAAGATATATTTTCAAAATGTACGTTTTTTTATATTGTATTCATAGTCTAATTGTATGCCTTGTGAACAGTATATTCAGTTCAAGGAATATACAACAGATAAACAGGTGCACAAACAGGGAATACAAAATGGATACACACCTCTATAAGAGGATCCCGGCCAACAATTGAAAACACTTCCTCTGTCAGCTTTCTTAAGACCTTTGCCCTGGGATCATAATTTTTGTACACACGATGTCCAAAACCACTCAGCTTTCGTTTCCTGGAGAAAAAGCATCAGACAATAATATATTAAAAAAAAAAAAAAAAAAACTATCATTTTCCCTGCTTGCTGTGAAGTGACCCAAAATATTGGAGGTGAAAAAGAGCAAGTCACCAAACCATCACCACTCTTTATAGATAGGGGAAAAACAAGACTCAGGAGAAAAGAAATGTAATTGTCACCTGGCTTTAACACCTTCGATAAATGCTGGAATGTTCTCAACAGTTCCAATTTCACTCAGCATTTTGAGGACAGCCTACAAAATCAGAGGTTACATCAAATTAACACAACACAAGTATATGACACAAGTATAATCAAAGGATTCATTTCTACTTTGTTTGTTTTCAGCTTTCCATATTTAAATTGGCAGTAGAAAAATGATTATGAGAGTGTCCTAAGCCATTTGCATCACCTCATTAGCTCCACCATGAAGAGGTCCATACAGAGCTCCAACAGCCCCAGCAATAGCAGTATATACATCAACACCACTGCAAATAAGGTAATAGTTAGGAAAATTTGACAGGCTGTTTCATTATGCTTGGAAAATTGCTATCTAGACCAAATTGTGTCTGCTCAAAAGCAGCCCTGGCAGACTCAGTAAGTTTGATTAGCAGGACTCTTTTGGTCAAGTGGTAAGATATCTACCTTGATGCAAGGTGACGTACAGTGGATGTAGAGCAATTCATTTCATGTTCTGCATGCAGGATGAAGATAATGTCCAGTGCACGAGTTAGTCGAGGATTAGGTTTATACGATCGGTTGCCTCTGAAAACAAGAATAGAGGAGATTGTTTGAGCTATGCTGATATAATCTCCCAATAACAAAAACCAACTAGTGTTCGGCTAACATTCTACCATCGTAGGTAAATCATCTTACTTTGTTTTGTTGGTGAGTAATCATGTTACTTTTGAAAATATTTAGATTTTGTTATATCTTACGAAAAGAAAAAAGAAAGCCATCATGAAGATCAGAAGAAAAAATAACTTCAAATTTAGAAAACAAGTTTAGGGTATTCCAAATAATCAATCCCACTTTAAAACAGTAACACGTACGAGGAGTCTAGCATGTATAGGAAGTTCTCAGTGTAAGAAAGTTTATTGGATGGAAGCACAGGTGGCCTTCCTGCCATTCTAAGATTAATTGCAGCAGCAATTGTTGTTATCTGCAGTCAAAATAGAAAATGATGATGCAACAAAGAAATTGGAAAGACTGCAAATAAGCATAGAATTGCTTGAATAATGCCCAAAAATTCAGATGATAAAGGCTTAGCCAATATCCAGTGCAAGAAGCATTCAGAATAATTGGATTACTTATTACATATACCAAAGACAAAATATCTAGAATAAAGAGAACTGAATAAGCATACCTTTCCAATAATCCGTGCTATTTGCTTGTCTCTCACTTGCTTCGAGTTGTAGATATCAAGACCCTACATTAAAATATAAAAAAGCTTTAAAAGAAAAAGTCAAAGCTGAATCAAAATGTAAGAAGGCAACAGCATGTTAAATTCTAGAAAGAAATAGAATACTGCTCAGTATTCACTTGTATATTGAACAAAATGAGGGAAAATGTAATATCACATGTGAATCATTTATCAAAATAATGAAAAGCATCAAATCTATAAGAGATGCAGGCAGGTAGAATCAACAATATGTAAGCCTTGGTGTACCAATTTTTGAAAATATAACTAAGCATTATCTGATGGTGGCCATAGTTCTTTTGATTACTTGCCTCATAAAACGCTTAAAGAGTGCAATCACCTTAGGGCTTAGGCAATAACTACTAACTCAGAACTTAAAGCAACTTCCAGAAAAATAACAGTAATTTTAAAATTGCCACAGGAATTCTGACTTCTATTTTGAAACTAAAATTTTCACAGTTCATTTTTGTAGAATCTATTAGAAAATCTAGAAGGATATCTCATAATATCATGATGATATCCTTAGAATAGTTTAGAGTATCTTAGAAAATCTCTTAGGAATAGCTTCCATAGCTCTTCATGATTTGTTTCCACACTTCATTAGGATTAGGAAATCCTTTAGTATCACATTCAATGCATCATTATATACAAGAGAACATTACTCAGAATCTCTATTCTTTCTCTTCCTCCTCACCAACCTAAATCTTTAATCTCAATAGAATCAAAGTTTGTTGCTGTAAATAATACTCATAAAAGTCAAAAGGAAACAACAGCTAATATATTTGCAAAATATGGAAAATGGGAAATATAGGAGGAAAAGTTCTACAAACTTAAGTTAAGAACACATTTACATCACAAAAGTATGGTATACAAAATTTCCATATTATGTTATCATTGTAACTTGACCACAGTTTGTCTCACTTACTTTGAGAGCAGGATTTGCATCAGGATGAAAAACAGATAAAGCGCTTATGGCATTAACAAGCATACCCATAGGATGTGCATCATGAGGCATTGATTGAATGATCTCCTACAAAATAAATGTATCACACAACAATTAGATCAATACACTTGTATTTCTTGAAAAGAAATTAATTACCTGATTACTCTCTTTTATATGATTACAACAAAAGATACACAGTTATTGCACAAGAAATTCTTAGCCTTATAAATTTGAACACAAACCAGTCTGGTAAAGGGGCATATACATAACATAAAAAGTGAACAACAATAATACTGATAAAAATAGACACATCTAACATTTATCAACCAGCCAGTTAAGCAAGATAACAAAGTGCTTAATGCTATCCTAAGTTTCACCTGGAAAGCATCACTAACTCGCATCTTCAAGAGTTAAGATAATGGGGTATAATACCCAAATAAGACATCAAATTTTTTGAACTACTTGTAAAATGCATTGCATGTGTGCATGCTGTTACTGCTTAATATACTCTGATTGATTACTTTAGCTTTTAATCAGCAGTCCTTTCTGACCAAAAAAATAGACAGCAGATTTTTGGACAATGTAAAATACAGTCAGCTTATTGGATTTTAAGCAGAATACAATTGATATAAATTGCTTAAAAATCTAAATGCTGTCCCTGGCTGAAACCAGAAAGTTATCAGATAGGAATTTGGGTCCTTAAACCCACAGTAAGTTATTTGATAGCAGAAAAGCTCACCAAAACTCCTTGTGGCACAGCTGAATGCTGAGATACAGCGAATTCCCATTCAGCTAACTGACTTTCGGATGGCAAATTCCCATACACTAAAAAGATAGAGAAAGACAGTTAATAAAATCCAAAGATACTAGTGTTAAACATAAAATGAAGCACGTAATTAACAGATTCATGAATAAGGACTCTACACCCACTCAAGTGTGTGCATCTTCACTGACAAAAAATTTGTTTCTAAGCTAATCATCAGTGAAAAGCAAAAAAGAACTGGTTTTTCACTTATCATAAACAAGGGAGACAAAAGTTTCATGCACAACAAAAATACTCACATATGAGATATGACACTTCCATAAAGGTGCTTTTCTCCTCCAACTCCTCAATGGGGTATCCCCTATATCTAAGGATTCCTTCATCACCATCAATATACGAAATTGCTGATCGGACAGGAGCTGTGTTCGAATAGCCAGGATCATAAAGTTTGAGTCCCTTATCATTCTTCCCAGTAGATATCTACAAATAAAAAATTAGAAAGCCCTATAATCAAATAACAATAAGGATGCAGTTAGATATATATAACTTAATTAAGCACTAATTTATTTAATAAGATCTTTTACATGACATAAATTTAACCATGAAACTTATTAGGATAAGCTGAAAAAACTTATTTTAATAAGTTAAAGTTATACCAAGAAGTTCACTGAAATAAGCTAAAAAGAATTTATAAAAGTCATATACTATTTTTATAAGTTAATCATAAATTCTTCCAAATCGGGCCTAAATAACAATATTAACATACACAATCATCAGTCATCATTGTGTAGAATTAATCACAAACCACCCCTACGATCTCAGCATGTAACTATGAATAAAATACATAAAAAAAAAAAAAAAAACCTCGATGACAAAAGAGAAATACTAATTCCAAACAATTCAACGAAGCAGAAAGGAGCGAAATTGATCACAACCCAGTTCGCCAAAAATCGAAATCCTTTCGAGGGCCAAGCCCGAAAACGAAAATTCATCGACACCAAAAGAACAAAAATATCAATCAATACACATAACAAAAGCTGATTCAAAAAGAAGAACAGATCCACATGAAACGACTCAACGAAGGCAAAGTGATCGAAATTGATGAAAACCCAGTTGGAGAAATTGAAAAAGGAAGAGAAAACAGTGGCAGTACCTTTTTGAAGTCAGTGGCTTTGACTGTGCCTTCTGGGAAGACTTGGATCTGGTACTTCTTCCCGGTCCTCTCGTCGACGACGGTGAGGGTGCCGTTCAGATTCGCCGGCGGCGAGGTTCCGGCGGGAGAGGAGAGGCAGAGAGGGTGGAGGATCGCGGCGGCGTTGGCGGTGGAGGGAACTAAGTGAGCTGTGAGGGTGGCCAAACGGTTGCGTGCAGTGTGTTCGGAAGTTGTTGTCGTTGACATTGTCATTTTATGTTATGTTGTGTTTGATTCTTTGGGGAATTTGAATGATTCGGATTCTAAGGAATATGAAAACTGACGTTGCACCTGGAAATTGAAATTGGAAATTCGATCGCTTTACATGTTCAAAATATGATGCACGTGCTCCATTACCATTCCAAATATTAATTTTCTTTTCTTATTTGAAACGTTTCTTTTTAAGAACAAAGTAATATATCTTTGGCACCAGAAATTAGTGGTTTTAATAAATCGATGGAATATGGTATAAACGATAAAAATTGTATTAAAAGAACAAACTATTTTAAATATACTAATTGTTATTCTCGATTTTAATAATAATTAATACAAAAATTATATTTATAATATATATATATATATATATATATATATATTAATTAACCCTAATAGACTTTTGAGTGGTCTAGTTAAAAAAAAGAAAAAAAAATCAAAACTAGATCTAAATCAAAGATTGAAAGCCTTGGTTGAGAAAAGAGAGATAAGTCCTAAAAAATAGATCTAAAGTTTCCACCTAAAGAATAAACTCCCATCGACACAGGCATTTAGACCAATAACAGAAGAATTTTTAATCAAATGTTTAGGATGTGGAAGGAATTCAATAAAGAAAATTCCATTCAAGACTTACTAAGTATAAATTTAGTAAGTCAAAGGCAAGATTTAATTTTTGAATACAAAGAGCAATATGATAGGTCTCTTGATATAAACCTCCTTTTGGATATAAATGACCTTAATCATTTTAATAAATCTAAAATATAATTTTCTACTTTGTATGAACTTGATTAGTAGAAGATAACCTCTTATTATAGCTCACAATATCTTTCAAATGACTATTCCTTAGTTTTTCTTATGAATTGTCTTTTTTGGAACGTGTTCCGAGGACAAGTGTATCAATCGAGAAGTAATAAAGGGTTCTTAAATTAAGTTCTCGAAATATCGTCCAACAAGAATTGATTTCCAATTACTAAGAATTTCTTAATTCAATTGTTTAAGCTTGAAAGATACGAGATTAATTAAAAACAAGAATTTATAAAATCAATTATAAAACTGAGAGTAAGGAATACAATGCACGTCTTGGTTAAACTTATCGGAGAGGAACCTAGGGCATATGGATTTTCTCATTCAATCCTTTATGTTATATTTCTATTTAACTCTAAATCCGATTTCCTTGTGATTACCAATCATTCATACGAATACTATTAATATCCAATGGTCATGCAATATTAATATTCTTTTCTCTAAATTAATATCTCCAATGGTCATGCAAGACATCAATTTGAGAAAGCTTAAGGAACCTATAAACTTGTTAATTTAATAACGATTAGAAGAGAAAGATTGGCTTGGTCCACCTAATCTTTTTTCTCGTTTTATCCTATAAATCTATTAATTAACCGAGGTACGGTCGCCTGACGATATAATTAATTAGGATTAAAAAAGAAGTGTAATAGGATAAAATTTAATCACAAAACGGAAATCAAATTTAAATTAAAATATCAGAATTTCCTAAATTCATGAACAATAGTTCCCATAGCCCTAGCTATGGACTTAGTTACTCATACTAAAGAAAAGAACTAAAACAATCATAAACAAAGTCATAATCAAAAGAAATAGCAAATTAAAGTGTGAGATGTGTTCCCGGTCTTCAAGTACGATCGTTCGAAGCTCCAAGTCTTTCCAAGCATGTGCCAAGGATCCCGTGCAAGAGAGACGAGATCAAATGTATTCTAGAGCCAAAACCAAGATGTCAAAACGGTGTTCCTAATGGTGCCTCAACTCTAAAAACTCTTTATAATTGGGCTTCCCGCAGATGAGCACGACCGTGCATGGGCTTAAAGCACCCCCGTGCTTGTTGGAAGGGTCTGAGCGTGCTGCCTGCTGCGAAACTCTAATCTTTTATCAATTTGGGTCCAAAATCTACTTGCGGCCTCTTTATATCAAACTACACAATTAATATATAAATTAGTGTAAAACCCAAATAAAATAAAGGTCAAATATGAATATATGAGCTGTAAAATAAGGCTTAATTATTGACTTATCAGAACAGTAATATGACTTTCTCTGAATTAGTTAATGACTTAATTTCCTTTATAAGTTAGACTTCGTAGTTATCTTTAAACCTAGAGTTAGCTTAGATAAGGTTGATAGGATAATTAAGGCCTTTAAACTAGATGGTAATGAGAAAGTAGATGTTATTGGTTTCTCAAGTAAAATTTGGTGTTGTTGGAATACTAGTAGGGTCCAAGTTTCTATTATTTTTAAAACTCAATCTGTCATCCACCTAAAAATTAGTAATTTTGGGATAAGTGAATAGATTCTATCCTTAATATATACTAGTTCTCGTGAAAATTTGATACCTACTTATTGGAAGGAATTAATAAAGTTCAGTGTTTCCATTAATCTTCCATGATGCTTAGCTGGAGACTTTAATGCTATCCTTTTTCAATATGAAAAATTAAGGGGCAAACTTCCTATAGCAAAATTAGGTAATTTGCTAACTCTTTCTTTCACTTTAATACAAGAAAGATTGATGGAGTTGTAGTCAATGAATCTTGGAGAACTATTTTTCCCAATTGTACTGTTATCCATACCCTTATTAAAATATGATCATGCAAGCCTCTGACTCAAAATTAGGGGCAAGAACCCTGTAATTAATAAACCTAAACAATTTAAATTTTTAACTCCCTAAGCTACCCATAATGACTTACATATTTAAGTTAAAAATACTTGGCTTAGGTTTAGTTAATGGTATGAAAATGTTGAAAGGTTTGGAATAACATCTCTGACTAGAATACTTTTGTCTTTGGTAATATTTTTCAAAAGAAAATGAGAATGTTTAGTGGACTGAAGGGACTCTCCCATAAATTGGCTAATGATAATTCATTCTTGAGAAAACTTATGGATTCTTTCTAGAAAGAGTATAAACTCTTACTTGACTAAGAAAAGTCATATTGGTACCATTAATACAAGGCTATTTTGGCTCTTTTTAGGTGATAGGAATACTAGATTCTTTCACTTAGCTGTCATTGTTCATAGGAATTATTTTCCTGTTTTGAGAGATACTAATAAAGTTTGCTTAAATGTTGAGCTTTCTATTGAAGAGGTGAAAGTTTCTCGGTTTTCCATTAGAAATTTTAAATCCCCTAGTCCACATGGACTTCATGCATTATTCTTTAAAAATTAATGAAAATTTCTTGCCCCTTATATTTTTAAGTTTGTTCAAGATGTCTTTCATAATCATGTCCTTATTTTTGTTGTTAATGAAACAAACATCTCTCTTATTCCCAATTTTGAAAATCCTAGTTCTATTAAAAACTTTAGATCAATCTCTTTATATAATGTGAATTCTAAAATTGTTACTAAAATTAAAGTTAATAGACTAAAGGATTCCTTACCTCATTTAATTTTAGTCAATCAGTGCAGCTTTATCCTTGATAGACGAATTGATAAATCTATTATCCTCCATGAGTTATTACACTATTTTTCTATGTTGAAAAGTAAAAGTGGCTATATGATTCTAAAACTGGATTTAGAAAAAGCATATGATAAACTCATATGCGACTTCATTATTGACACTTTCACAAAAATTGGTTTTAAATATGATTTTGTTAATTTAGTTCATCATTGTATTTCTTCCTCTTCCATGCATTTAAATTTACATAAAAAAATTTCTAATAGCTTTAAGCCATCTAGAGGGATTAGGTAGAAGGATTTACTTTCTCATAATATTTTTGTTATGTATATTGAAAGACTTGCACATTTATTTAAAGATAGCATTATAGAAGGTAGTTGAAATTGATAAATCCATCTTTTGTTAATATTTTAATTATCTTTTTAATAGATTTTTAACAAATAAATGAAGTTAAAAAATATAAATACCATAAAAATATCATTTCTGTAATTAATTTCAATTTCTCTAAATTAGTTCAGTTTATTTAGTTTTATAGTCCTTTTTTGTAAATATGCTTATTAGAATAAATGTGCAGGAGTTTATGAACAATGATCCATAAAAATTAAGCTTTCAAAGAGAAAATTAGGTGAAAGTGATCACTTTTCCCTTCAAAAGTAACAACTTCAGAACCCTCTAAGAAGAATGCAGTTGTGCATTGACACTTCCAACGCACATAGTAAGTGTTCTAGAAGGCATCACCCAAGAACTAATTGCGCGTGGACACTATGAGTGTCCATAGTGAATGTTCTAGAATCACTTTCAAGAGAGCAGGATGTGCGTTATCACTTTCACCATCCATAGTGAATGCTCCAGTCATGAAGCACTGCAAGAGGTCTTCTGCGTTGTCACTTCCACCATTCATAGTGACAACAACAGGAAAACGTTGATTTTACTATAAATAGACTTCCAATTAGAATAGAGGGACTTTTTTTTGCCATTTTCTTGTATTTTTCATTTCTGAACCTTAAAGAATTAGGGTAAGAGTTTTAGGCGGCTACCAAGAGCTCAACTTTAGGGTTCCTACTTTTTTCCTTTCTTTCACTCTATTTTTTTTTTTTAAACATTGATTGTTTGTAATGTTGAATTCAACCATTAGGGTAGTTCACAATGGATTCTTGAAGTTTAAGTTTGATTGTTGATAAAAAATTCCTTTTGCATGGATTTTATTTTTTCTAATCTCTTGAAAACTGAGTTAGAAATTGAATAGGGATTGTTTGCTTAATTCAATCCAAGTTCCTTTCTTAACAAGGGTTTCATAGTTCAGTTTGCTTAATTCTAGATAAGATTCTAGATTTGCTTAATTCCAAGAACTAGAGATTAGAGTTCATATAATTTGCCTAATCTTGAATGAGAAATTAAGAGTTAATTGACACGTGTTCCAATTAATCCAAATATGTGAGGGAACTAGTATCTAATTTTTGATTAACTAATGATGGAACCAATTGTGAATGAACTAGGGATTAATCTATTTTATTGATTGATTCTCTTAAATTCAAATTTTTGCTTTAAATGATTGAGGACTTTAAAACCAAAACCAAATTGCCGTATTTTCTGAACTTAATGCACAACATATGTTTGATATTTATTTTCTCACTCAATGATTTTTAGGTGGATGAC